ATAAACAGGATCTCGGGGAACTGCAGGGAGTAATTACGGGGCACAGGAGGGCAGCCCCGCCAGTGGCTGGCTCCCGGGCAGCGGAGTCTGGCTAAATGGCGGAGCTTCCAGGGCCTTCCGTCTCCTTGCAGCCCGCACCCCAGCCCCGCACCCCAGCCCCGCACTGGGGAGGCGTTCAGGGCGCACATCTGCATTCCAGCTTTTTGCAAAAACAAGTAGATGACAACAGTTGGAGCTGCAGCAACAGGAGACATAAATAAGTTTGGGAAGGGGCGGGCAAGAAGGGCGGCGTCCGGGAGCAGAGAAGGGAAGACACTGAAGGGGAGGAGGGGACACAACTGGGGTCCAGAGTGGTGGAGTTTGGAGGTGCAGGGAGGTGACCTGGGACACAGCAGAGCACCGCAGCCCAGGTGTGGACCAGCCAGGAGGGTTCTGGAGAAATAGCCCGTTGGCTGCTCAAATTGGCCAGTTCAGGAGAAGCTGACCTTCCGGAACAGGCCAGAGCAGCCCTGCCCCTCCGTGACACGCCTTTCAAGCCTTTGCTTTGGAATAACAACACAATTGCTGTGGGAGATGGCCCGCGCTCACACAGATCGTATATTTAAATAGGGAACATCTGTGGGTCTCAAGTTTCCTTATTTAATGAGAAAACAAGCTGGAGTGTGGAAAAGCCGGGGTTTGGAATTCAAAGAGACACAGGTTTTTGCTTTTATTTCATTTAGTTTGTTTGGACCCCAGAACTGGGAAAACCATGACTGTCCACAAAGGTAACCCACAGAGGAGTGTGGAGCTGAGCCGGTGAGAAGTCTGCCCACGAGGGTGGTGTTGGGGAGCCTGGGGTTCAGGAGGGGCCTGCCCGCACCCCCCTTATTCCACCCCGTGAACACTTTCTGAAGGATTGTTTAGAATGGCCCCCTTTGGAGAAGGGGAGGGGAGTCTGGGGAATCTTGTCATTCAAACCCAATATTTTAAGCCGGTGTTGCCTTCCTGATGAAGGGAGTGGCTTTAGCTCGGGAACCGCCCACTCACAGTTGGTTTGAGGGAGACTGGAGACAGGCCTTTTGAAAAACAGAACTTATCAAACATAGCCGCTAAGATCTGAGCACCTATATGGGGTGTGGGGTGTGGGGTGTGGGGTGGTGTTTCTCACTTAAAAGCACGATCGACAAGGGGCACAGCACCATGCGGGGTTTTTCACATCCCAGAGCTGACCTGCAGCTCAGGAGCCTTGCGTGAGTCAGTCCATCTTGATGTGAGCGTGTGGGGGTTTTTGCAAAAGAGAAAAGCAAAGTGGCCACGTTTCACTCTCTGGGTGTCGGCTGGCTCATGTGCTGCCATTTGTGGGGCTCCTTTGAACACAAGCCTTTGCCATCCAATCTCCAGGGAGCCAGGGTGCCAGCCCCAGGGAACTTGTATGTTCTCTAACTAGAGGTCAGTCCTTTTACAGGAACAGTCTGAAGTAGGGAGGCTCAGTCTCAGGACCCCAACTTGAGCAACTCTCAAATGTGGGGTCCAAGAAGAGCTCTTGTTACCAAGACACTCGCCTCTGTGACTCAGCTGCCTGGGACCACTGACTTGATAAGCACCAGGTGGTCCAGGTGGCCACCCTGGGGCACCTCACAGGTTTTCGAGCATTAAACACCTGTCTTCCAGGGTGCACAGGAGACAGGAGGTGCCGGCACTGTGGAGCACCCACCCCGCCAAGGGCTGCCAGACTTGGGGCTGGGATTGCCAGACCTAGTTTTTCAAGAGAAACTGAAATTCAATACTTGTGAGGGAAATTTCCTGATTTTTAAATGAGGGCAAGTGATTCAGATTTTCTGAAAAAAGTGAATGGTCAAGCAAGACATGTCTGAAGGCCAGAGAGGCAGAGGCCACAGCCTGGGCGGTGGTCTCTGCCAGGTGATGTCGCCCCCAGGGAACATCGGGTCTGCAATGTGTATTGTCATGCCTTGGGGTGGGGGTGGGGTGCTGCTGGGATGCTGCTCAACCTCCTACTCTGTGCTGGACCCCACCCCATCGAGCTGCCTGGTCCTACGGGGAGTTTAACTGGCACTAGCTGTGGCAAAAGACGGGCAGAAACATGGGCCCTGGCAGGCCTGGGGCACCTGCACCTGATTTTACACACTTATTAGGGTCAGAGAGACCAGGCTCTGCCCTTTCGACCCCGAGGAACCGCAGAGTGGTGGCTGAGCCCTCTCTGGCCCAATGCGATCCCGGCCCGCGGCCCACAAGCTCACAAGCTTCCTGCGCGTGAAGGAGGCGCCGCCTCGCTGACCTCGGCAGGCACGACAGTCATGCGAGAAATGTGGCGGGGCCAGGCCGGCTGCCATGCTCCCGCTGCCACTCGGTCCCCGGCTGGGTGGGAGGGGCTCTTGCTGGAATGTTTGGTTTGGGCTCCTCATTCAGTCGTTTCTGGAACTGTGGTTGCGAATAGTCCCCTGCCCAGCCAACCACGACCATAAGAAAACAAAATGCTTTGAGTCTTGCACATTCAGTGCTGGTTTGCTCAGCGCTGAGGCAGGTGGGCAGGCCCTGCCTGGGGGCTTGCGGGCCTGTCATGGGAACATGGGGCAGACCTGAAGCCCCTCGTGCCCGGCGCGCCCTCCCCACCCGGCGTCCTCACCTTCCTGATGATCCAGAACCTTCAGTGGCAAATAATAGTTCCACCCTGAATGAAGCCTGGGCTCTGTCGGCCCTTCTCCCCAGCCCCCTGGCGGAAGCCTCTCCCCCGGGTTCTGCTGCTGTGCTTCTCCGCAGACGTCTCTGCTCCCAGTCTCCCGCCTCCACTCGGGCCGTGCCGCCTGACTGTGGTCTCGCCTCTCCTCCTCCTGCATCGCCTCATCGTTCACTCCTTTGAGGCCCTTTCTGCCTCCTGCCTTAGAATCGCTTGTGTTCTTCATTATTTTTATGATTTTTAAAAAATATTTTCTATTTATTTATATTTTATTTATACAAGCACTGGGTACAGTCAGAAGCGCGGGAGGGTGAGAGGATTCACCAGAGCCAGAGCGGGGAGCAGAACAGGCAGAGAGACGAAGTACACCGCTGAGGGAGCAGAGGGCGCAACAGGAGAGTTCTGCGCACCATGCGGGACCCTTGCCGGCGGCCGGGTATCGAACTGGCACTGCAGAGGCTGCGGGCAGCTTCCCAGCCCAGTGCTCAACCGCTGCGCCACCGGGGAGGCCCTTTTTTATGATTTTTTGGACATCATTCTTCATTGTTGTACAGTGTGTGCTTTTTCTCTCAAACGTGTTCCCCGTGAAAGTCCCACCACCAGGTCCCCCGTGCACCATCCCATAGTCCCTTGTGTTCTTCCCGCCCCTGTTTTGATCCTTCTCCTTCTCCGTCCCCTGCAGAATGTCTCTGGTTTATAGTTGACTGTTGATTTTGATTTTTAATTTATTATAATTACCCGCCCTCCACCCCCGCCCCCGATCTCTAGGTTGGTCCCTCTGTATTCCAGGAAACCATTTTTTTCATTCTGGCTTATTTCACTGAGCACAATCTCTTCCAGCTCCATCCATGTTGCTCTGAATGGCATGAGGTTATCTTTTTGATGGCCGAGTAATATTCCATTGTATATATGTATACCACATGTTCTAGATCCAGTCATCTATGTTTGGGCATTTGGGTTGTTTCCATAGCTTGCCTAGTGTAAATAGTGCTGCAATACACATAGGCGTGCAGGTGTCCTTTTAAATTAAGGTTTTTGTGTCCTTTGGGTAGATCCCTAGGTGTGGAATTGCTGGATCATATGAAGTTCCATTTTTAATACTTTGAGGCACCTCCACACAGCTTTCCAAAGTGGCTGGAACACAAACTGGGAGATTCTTAAGGGAAGAGTTAATTAAAAAAAGCCAACTTTGTGTTCCCTGTTCTGGGCAATCTCCTCACCTGCTCCCTGGCAGGGGGCTGTTATTCAGCCTCTACTGCTGACTCCCAGGCTCTTCCCTTGTCCAGGGGCTGCTGTCCTTGTTATCTCTCCACCCCTGCCCTGTCCCGCTTTTGCAGATAAGGAATGTCAGCCTAGAGAGACTGCCACTGTCGCTCATGGGCTCACTCAGTGTGTATCTTTTTGATACACACTGTGGGGCTGGCTCTGCAGGGACTCAGCAGAAGGGAGGCCAAATGTCACGAGCTGGGTACCCCCAAGCAGACGCTGAGAGGTCTGCATTTAGCATCTAGCAGGAAAATCGGGGTGTGTCCATGCCTTGGAGGGGGTGAGGGGGCAAGAGGTGGTGAGTCCTGATGCAGCCATCTTACTGGTGTTTCAGCCACCTTCCAGGGAGTTCTGGACACAGATTACCCCTTAGAGCTGCCCAACCTCTGTCTCCCGCTGGACCCGCCTTTGGCTTGGGTGTCTGTTCTGGGAAGGCCTGTCGCCTTGTCCTCTGAGGCCATCCCTGATGCGCTCTCAGCTGGGTGCTGTCTGCTGCTCGCCCTGCCAGCAGCTGGGTTCTGAATGCCTGCCTCCAGAGTGGGGGGCTAAGTGCTTTCATTCCAGTGGGGAGCAGTTCCCCAGGAACAACCAAGCAAACAAGTAAGCACAGTTTGAAGAAGGGAGAGACAGGCTCATCTTGCACACGGGGAAGCTGAGGGGCCCAGAGGTTGCACGGCTTAAAGCCCACCACCCCATCCCAGTGTCCATGGCCCCCAAACCCTGGCCTGTGCGTGTCTACTCAGCCCCTGCTAGTCCTGTAGAGCCTCAGAAACCCGGCTGAAGAGCTGGGTCCCGCTCCGCAGGCCTGGAGACTTCGGAGGGGCACAGAAGGACCAACTTGTAGGGCCAAGGAATTCCTCTTGCAAGGAACGACTCTCTGTGGATTTATTTCATGCACACTAGTGAGGAATTCAGGTGCGGGTCAAGGAGTTTGAGTTGATTCCCGCGCCCTCCTCCCTCTCTCCTTCTCCCAAGCAGTTGTGCCTCTTCTGTGTTGAAAAGGACCTTGAAACGCCTGGTGACCTCTCCCCTCTGACGCTTGCCCTTTGTGTTGCAGAGCAAGGAGATCGGCCTGCAGATGCACGAGGAGCTCCTGAAGGTGACCAATGAGCTCTACACGGTAAGTTCTGCTCCCGCATGGAGGCCCCGGCCCTTCTGCACCCAGAGGGGAGGGAGGCTGACTGCGGGCCTGGGCCACCCTGGTGTCCTTGCTGTGTCCGTTCCAGAGAGATGGGGAAGTAATGACTGCACCCCCAGCTTCTGATTCAGTGCTGCTGGGGGCAGGGGAGCACAGTTAGTTTGTGAAAGTTCGCGGAGATTCGAATGCCTTGCAGGCTCCTCTGGCACCTTTGCCGACAGCTGGCCTTCAGGCGGGCCTCCTGCAGACTCCACCCGCTGTGCGGCCTTGGGCAAGGGACTCCTCTCTGCGCCTAGGCCTCCCAGCCTCAAAGGGGTGGGGTCGCCAGAAGTTAATCTACAAACATTGACCTCAGGTTTGTCTGAGTGCAGGAGCAGAACTTGAGCCCCAGGCCATTTGGGGCTGGGGCTGTGTTTTGGGGCAACAGAAGATACTGAGTCAGAGGGCATTGCGGGGGACATTCATCTATGCTTTAAGGCACAGACTCAGAAGCCAGAGACCTGGGTTCAAATCCAGTGCTGGAATAGGAAGGATTTCTCCCCAGCTCCTTGACCCCTGTGACCCCATGACTGCTTCTTGCTCCTCCCCGTGAAAGGTCACGTCCACGTGTGTAAAGCATGCATAGACCAGGGAGCACAGAGGCATCGAGTGTCTGGAGTCACTGTCACGGTTTACACCTCCTGGCAGGTGTGGAGCAGGCTGGGGTGCAGCCCCAGGAAGGGGGGCCAGCGTGCAAGATTGCTGCCCAAACAGGACGTTCCTCCCTCAGATTCCACATTGGGGGCTGGTCAGATCGAACCCCCCTTTAGGTTCCTTTGTAAGTTCCCCCTCTGTGGGTCACTCCTCCATGGCCTGCCACACCTGCTCCCTGTCCAGACCGCCTGCCGCTTCCACCTCGTCCTGACCTCCCCCGGACGGCTCTGCATGCTCTGCACAGGCCTGTCTCCCAAGCCCTTGGCCCCGGTGACTCCCCCACCACCCACTCCTCCTCTGCTGCTCTTCTCCGTCCTCATGTTTCAAGCCCAGACCCAACTCACCGCCTGCGGGAAGCTGCCCACTCTGGGCTCCGTAGGCAAAGCTGCGCTAGGAAAGTCCCGGTGTCCCCCCCGCCTCCCCAGTTGGCCTCTGGTCTCCTGGCGTCAGATGCCCAGTGTGGTGCCCTGAAGCCAGCACATCGCCCCCTGCTGACCACAGGCGGGCAGCTGGACGGAAATGCCTCTGGCACAGACATGTAGGCCCTGGTCCCTGCTGCTGGAGCTCACAGCCCGCAGTGCGCAAGGACCTGGGAGCAGGTGGGGAGGAAGAAGCGTGTGTCCTCCTGGCCTAGATGGAGACAAGAAGGCTAGAAGGAGGCTGCAGGGCGGGGCATTTTGTTATCTCCTTCTTCTTTCCTCTTTCCTTCAGCCCCTTCCTCCTCACCTGCAGGGGCTCTCTCCCCTGAAGGCTGCCAGCGTGTTAGTGCACCCGCATGCACGCCTCTGCACACATGCACGCACCACCCCATCACGCCCCGCACACGTGCCCCGCACACTTGCCCTGCACCATGCACACACGCCTCCCACCTGGCCGGCTTTGCTGAGCTCCCCACCTGCCCGACGTGTGTCGGCTGGCATCTTCCAGTCCTGGCCGGAGGGAGAGGACAGGTTGATGCTCCCCCTTCCAGATGTAAACACAAAGAAACAACAGCAAAAAATATGCCCACTCTGTTTCCACTTCCACTGTTCAACTATAAATATGCTCAGATTTTCCAGTGTATCTGTCGCATTTTGAACTGACATTTTGAACTGACTGTCGCGGCAGCCCCACTGACCTGTTCTCTGCTCAGTGGCTCTCCTCCCGCCAGGCCCTGGGCCTGCCTTCCAGGGCCTGCAGGGCCCCCGGACTCACTCAGGGCCTGGGTGTGTATTGGGGGTGTGTACACAGGGGCGTGGGATACGAGTAGCCACACAGTTGCAGCTGGGGACAGGGAGAAGCAGCTGGAGTGATGACTGGGCCCTGCTTTTCACTTATTCAAGTTGATTTGATTGTGCTCAGGGGCTGGGCTGCTGGAAATGGATTCTGGGCCCCCAGGCATGGTTCTGCAGAGGCTACGGCTCCCTCCCCATGAGCACCCTCAGGGAGCTGCTGGAGGAGGGGGAGCCTGAGGCAGGAGCCTGCCCCCTGGGTCCTGGCTGCAGCTCCAGCTCGGCTCACGGTGGCCTTCCTGGACTGATGTCCCACGGCTGTCGTGGCTCAGGCGTGACCACCACGCGTCCTCATGCCTGTGTGTGGTGCGTCTCTTTAAATGGTCACCTGCAGTACTTTGCCTGCCCCCCTCCCCCAAAGTTGGGAACTGCAGACTCTTCTCTCTGGACTGTTCTGACAAGGGCCAGCGGCCCTGAAGCCCGGCTCCCGGCAGACCTCACTCGCTGTGCTTGTGAAGGAGCGGAGCATCCGCATCTCCCACCTCATTCTGAATCCTTCTCTCTCCAGCACCCGCTGCCCTGGCCAAGGAGCCTGGGAACGTTTTGTCTGCAAAGTGCGTCCTCCAGCCGCGCTCTCTATGCGCAGACTCCAGAGGGCCTTCCTTTTAAAGCCACCCCGAGCATTTACATTTAGACATAGATAATACATGCACTGCAAGAAAACAATAATGAAAAAGGACAAAAGGTGCCCAGCGAGATGTCTGCCTCCTGGTGCCAGCTCCCCCACCCCACCCGTTTCCAGTCACCCCAGCACCCCCATGTGCACGTGGCCTGCGCCCCTGCCTACACAGGTGGTCTGCTGGGCACAGCTGCGCCTCTGTGGCGACGGGCGGGCACCAGCCCCACCGCTCGCGCTCACCGCCCCCACTGTAGCCGGCCCTCACCATGGGCCAGGCCCTGGCCTGGACCCTTTCCACGGTTTCACTCGTCTCATCCTGGCCAGAGCCCTTGGAGGTGGGTGGTCGCATTCCTGGAGGCGCAGAGCGGCTCGAAGCCGCCGCAGGCCTCTAGCTGGGGAGCAGCAGAGCCTACTCCCCCAAGCTACTTGCAGACATGCCTTTGAGGATCTATGTAAATACATGTAAACTGCTTGTCCATGTTTGTTTGGAAGCAAATGAAGCCCACCTTGGTGTCCATGGAGGCTTCCTGAGCAGCACGAAGGCCTCCAGCAAGGTTGGTGCCTGCTGGTGCTGCAAAGCCTCAGCGGAGGTACTGGGCGCGCCAGCCGGGGCCTTCCCCCACATAGTCAGATGAGCCAGAAGGATGGAAAGGGCTCATAATGCGTCTTTACGCCCCGTCACCGTCACCCAGCGAACCCAATGGTTCCACCCCACCCTGGGGAACCTGGCAGTGCCTGAGCCTGGCCTCCACCTCCGTTGTCGGTGGGAGGAAGGCGCGCAGCTCAAGGAGGACTTTATTTTTTTGTTTTGTTAATTATTTATTTATGCTACAAGAACTGGGGTACAGACCAGAGGTGTGGGGGTGAGAGGATTCACCAGAGACAGAGCGGGGAACAGAACCCGTGGATCCACTGAAACACACTGCTGAGGGGAGCAGCGGGGAGACAGGAGAGGTCTGCTGTGCATGTGGGTAGCTCCCTGGCCAGGGATTGAACTCGTGCTGCAGTGGCTGCAGATAGCTTCATAGTGCTGTGCTTAACCCGTTGCGCCACCAGGGAGGTCCTCAAAGAGGACTTTGAGGCCCCTCCCGAGCTTCTCTCTTCATGCTGCTTGGCCTTGGGGGGAGACAGGGGCTCGTCTCAGACTTTGGGGGAACCAGGCTCCACTGGAAGGTCACAGCTGACCATTGCATGGGGGCGTGGCATGGCCCTGAGGAGGGCGGAGGCTGTGGTTTCCCCCTGGACAACCTCAACTTTCATCCCCTTACTCGGCACATTCACCGACCAATGCTGTGTTCAGGGTGGGATGTGGCCACAGCGTGTGACAAGTGTCGTGTGTAGTGGGTGGGGTGAGGACTTCTGTCCAGCTTCAGGAAGACCGCAGAGAAGAGATGGGCCTGTCCTGGGTCTGGGTGATGTGGGGTGGATAGGGGGTAGGGGGAGCGGCACCGGGGGCGGGGGTGGTATGGGCCCAGGGCGCCTGCACAGTGTGATTTGTCTCGGAGTCAAGCGCCATGTCTGGCCACTTGGGACCAGGACTGATGTGGGTTGTGGACAGGTGAGAAGGTAGGGAGTCTGCCACCAGGACTCCCTCAGTTGCAAAATAAGAAGCCAGTGCAAACCGGCTTGTGTAAAAATAACAATTTACTGAATTATATGAGCAGTAGCTCAGGTGTGGCTGGATCCAGGAGCTCATGCACTTGTTGACTGCCTGTCTCCCCCGAAGAGTGTGCGCTCGTGAGGGCAATATCCCTGTCTCTTCCAACAGTAGTGTTCCTGGCAGCTGGTGTACTACCCAGCTCACGATAAACTGTTCAATAAGTGCTGCGTGGCTGAAGGTGTAGCTCTTACCCACGGCTTCCACCTGCTTGTGGGATCAGAGGCCGCACAACCCGCCTCCGTTTACTCTTCCTTCCTTTCCTTTCCCTCTTCTTTCCCACCTTAATGTTTGTCTGTTCATCCATTCAGCCATCTGTCCGTCCATCCATTCGTTCATTCGTCCATCCATCTGTTCATCCGTCCATTCATCCATCCATGCGTGCTCCATCTATCTGTCTGTCTGTCCGTCCATCTATCCATGCATCCATTCATCCATCTACCCATCCTTCCATCCATCCATTCATCGATTGTCTGCTCCTGGGAATCAGCCTCTCTCCTTCTGTTGGGTTCATTTTCCTCAGTGTTGGCTTCGTGATCAGGCAGGTTTCTCCCATGACAGGGATGGTGACAAGGATGTCTCCCCACTGCAAGCTCACTTCCTATCAACTCAGCACCCCCTGGTGGAAGAGAACACTCCTTTGCCAGTGTTTCCAGCCAAGCCTGGCTGGGAAAATGACCTCCAGTCACTGTGGCCAGATTAACATAATGTTCACTGATTGGCCAGGCCTGGGTCTCATGCCCACCCCCAGGACTGGAGGTGGTGTCAGTTTCCCATGAACTACCCCAGCTGAGACTGGTGGAGGGGAATTTTGGGGATTTCCTCAAAGAAAACCAGGAAACTGTTCTAGAAGGGGACTGGATGATCCTAGGCGGAGAAAGACAACAGATGGCTGCTGAAGGGAAATAGCTGGGAGGCTAAGGAAGTGGGTCCACTGGCCAGTGCCCAGCAAGCACCTTATGTTCTTCTACCTGCAAGTTGTTTCTCAAACCTGCTTGATTCCTGCTCCTTTTGGGCTTAAAGCTCTCGCTGCTCCCTTTGGAATACGCCACCCGCACCCCATGTCTTGTTCATCCAGCTGAGAGATACTCTTTCTTCAAGTTTCAGTGTAGCTGTCATCTCCTCCAAGAAGCCTGCCTTTAACACCCTGTACTGCCTCCATCACGGCAGTTGTCACCCCCTGTGATCAGCCCTTGGGTCATTGTCTGCGTCCTGACTACAGCGTGAATTCTGTCGGGCAGAGGCCCTAGCTGGCTTCCACACTCCAGTGTTTCCTAATATAGTACTTAGTACCTAGCACATAACAACTGTTACTGTCTAATATATTCACCAGATCAAAGGTAGTAGAGTTATACCTCCCCTGTTTTATACTCTCTCCCCCTGTTCTTTCTACCCACCTACCCATCCACCCACTCATGTACCTACCTCTCCAGCCAGCCAGCTGTTTATCATTCAGTCACACAGATTACACTGATGCTGGGTTCCAGTCTCTGCACTAGTCTAAGGAATAACACCTGGAACTTACACTCTAGTTGGGATATGACAACTTTTAAATATGCACAATGCATAAATAACAGCAATTATGAGTTCTACGGAGGACCTAGGCCTCACAAAATGTGAGAGGTCAGACTAAATTTAGGGGTTCCTTTTTCCTTCAAGGAAGCCTTTGGCATGCACTGGCCCAGGGTTTCACCCCTACATAGCAGCCCGGTCTGTGGGGTGGGGGAGGCCCACCCTGGCTGCTCATCGAGAATTGTTTTCTCACAGCTGATGCTCACTGTGCTCTGGCACGTGCCTTGTTGATGCCGTCGGCTTCCAGGTTCCTGGTGCCTCCAGTGAGGCTCTGACAGACTGTGCAGGTGGTAATTTCCTGTTTTCATGATCTGAAGACTTAGGAAGATGCAAAAAGCAAAGTGCACACAGCAAAAGTCATCGCGATCACCAGAAAAGCGTCTGCTGCTCAGAAGTCCTGGCCTCCGGTCTCAGCTCTGTTGAGCTCAGCTGTGCCGTGAACTGCACACTTGCTGTTTCCGGCCTCATTTCCTTCCATGGTGGGCTCATATGTCTAGATTTCTCAAAGGCCTTCTCAGCTTCATAAAGCTGAGCAGGGTCCAAAAACTGTGGCCTCAACTGATGTGACCCTACGCCATGCTGCTCAGCCTGTCTAGACCTGCTCTGGGACCCTCCCTGATAGGAGCTGGGGAGCTGGAAAGTGAACGCCCCTTTGGTCATCAGCTCTGAGATCTTGTCTCTCAAGGTCGGGGTTCCAGCTGGGCATTCCCTCCCCCACATTTTCCTTCTCTTGAACACAGACACTGTCTTCAGGATGTGGGTCTCAGCTGAACTCCTGCACCCACCTCTGCTCCCAGCCCTGCTGCCAGTTGGTGACTACAGTCACCATGTACAGGGCACATGCCCATCCACCCCACCTGGTCTGGACCAGGTGACTCAGAGGACAAGCCCCTGCCGCAGCCACCCAGCACCCAGGCAGTGGTGGGAGGGGCGAGTCTCAAACTGGATCTCCTGAGACCTGTGGGCCTCAGAATCCTTTATCCTTGTGTTGTGGCTTCTTCATCTTTAAAGTGAGAAACCAATGAGTTCATATGTGAAAAGTGCTTAAACAGGCCTGGCATGTAGTAATTGTTGAGTAAGTGTTAGCTGCTCATGCTCCCTCCAGGACTGGGGTTAAGAGTCACTGAAATGCTCCTTAGGGACAATAAAAACAGACATCTGCAAATCCCGAAGTAATGGGCACATCTCAATATTATTGATATTTAACACATTTTAGACTGGGCAGGCCGTTCTAGGCTGTTGACCTAAGGACTTTCCACACTGAGTTCCACATTTCAGGTAAGTAAAGGAACTGTCTAGAAGATTCTGGGTGTAAAGAGTTTAGTTAGATTCACTTCAGAGGTCTCCGGGTAGCTACCTTTGTGGTAGCGTCCAGTGTAAGCCCCTGTGGGCGATAAGCTCCCCGGCGTTCTTGGTATCAAGAATTACTTATCGGATCATGCCAAGCTTGGCCCCATGGTCTTCTGTGCTGTGCTCTCCAAGCAGGGGCTTCTGGAGCAGTTCAGAGACTGTACTGTGAAGTTTGACTTGTGGCAGAGCAGGACAGTGCTCTGTGTTCAAGAGGAGAAGGAAGGTGTGGAGGTCAGAACTCCCAGCTGGGACACCGCCCTTGGGAGAATAGATGGATGGGCGTGTGGGTGACTAGACAGGAAGATCTCTTTGCAGGTAGAAATGCCCCCTCTTTCTGACGAACTCCCCAACATAGATGATAGATCCGTGATAAGCCCACCTCAGCCTCTGAAATATCAGTACAAAGAGGGATTTAGTAGGACTCATGGAAGCCAGACAAGGGTGGAGTGCAGAAATGACCACCTCCAGCAGCGTGGTGGGAACACAAAGAAACCAGGGTGTCTATGAATCTGGAGGAGAGAGACTTCGAAGGCAGGGGTGCTGGAGACAGACTTTCGTAGGCACTTCCAACCCTTAGCCTCATTGTTAGGTCCTTGGAGCCAGGGCATGAAGACCCTTGCAAACAGGCCACCTTGTGTGCTCTCTGTAAGTCTGCAGTCACCCCTTTTGGCCACTAGAAGTCAAGAACACATCGATAGGATACACTTTCTGGTCCACTGGCTTATGTGGAAATAAGCATAGTGGGACTGGCATGTGGAATGGATGCACTCTCTAGCAAGGGTTCTGGAGAGGCTTTTGGACAACTGCAAGTGATTGCAAATGGGTGGAATGCAGAAAAGAGGACTTTCCACCAAGACCCATGAAGAAAAGTTGATTGGATTTTTTCTTCATTTGTTGTTGAAATGATGTGGGTGTTGAGGATGAAATGAGGGAAAAATGAAGAGCCCCAGAAGAATTTCTTGATCTAACAAACTCATGACTTTGAGCAAACATGAGCAGGGCTTAATGTTGGCCAGTAGCTTATTCTAAGTGCCCTTGATGAAGGGACCGGCTAGGCGGGCACACCCCACCCCAGGAGGAGGCCTCTGTCTACAGGTTGCTGTAAAGAATGAATAGACTCAGCAGCCATGAATTCCAGAAATTTCTTTGTGTTTCTTAGCATAGAAAGAGGATCATCAAATTGATTTGCAAAGGGGCCTGGAGATAGGATTCTGTTGGTGTGGGATGCCCAGAAGTATTTCCAGCTACTCAGAAGACGGGGCTGAATTGAGGAAACAGCATGATTTGGTAGAAACAGGGTGGATTAGAAGTCAGGGACCAGACCTCAACTTGGTTAAATATGCTCTTCCCACATGACCCTCCGTTCTACTCCTGGGTCTCTAAGGAAAATGGAAACCTATGTCCACACAAAGAATGGTACGTGAACATTCATAGCAGTTTTATTCACATTAGCCAGAAACTGTAAACACCCCAAATAATCATCATTGCATGAATAAACGAGCTGTGGTGTCGCTATGCTGTGGAATACTGCTCAGAGATAAGGAGTAACACTATGGGAGAAGCTCAAGAACAGTTGCCGAGTTAAAGAGGGCAGACCCAGAAGACTCCACACTACATGAGTCCATATGTGTGAGGTTCCAGAACACACGAGATGACTCTATAGGGACAGAAAGCAAGGCAGCGATGGCTGGGGCTGGAGTTGGGCAGGCGGGATGTTTTGGGGGTGACGGAAGCTTCTATGGTCAGGGTGTGGCTCCTGCACATTTGGTCCGGGGACAGCGCAGATATGCTGTCTGACCTTGGAGTTGCCATCTTGCCCCTGTGGCTTGCTTCCCTGTTTGTGAGACTTGGTGGCTGGATACCATGACATGTAGGATTTCTTCTGCCTCAAAAACTCTCTGTTATGTAACAAGATGCCACTTGTTTATGGACTTGGATAGTGAAGTGTGATTTGCTTTGAAGGAATTTGTTTTATGACCAAGGATGTGTTTGTGAGAGTGTGGACCATTCCTCAGGCTATCTCATAATGTTCCTTTTGGGGACTGAGCCACTTGCAGACAAGTTTACAGAGTAAAACAGCTGGAAAGGATTTGTATGTCAGTAAGAAGGATGTACCCATGGAGGTCCCTGAGTGCTTTGGGAGGGCTTTCCACTGAGGGCCTGGGAGGCACAGGGATCATGGCCGGCAGGGCTGGAGAGGGCAGCTGAGAGAGGGCGGGATGTGCCGTATCACCTCTGGAACCCCCAAATGCACAGGAGCTGTGGTTACCCCTTTAAATTTGTATATTAGTCTGGGCCTGGCGCTCAGTAAGTGCTTAATGATGTTGATGACAAAAATGAAGCTGCTACCTATGATCGTCGTTTTTTTAAGTCATTGGAGATTTTGTGCCCAAGTTAAGAACTTAGTGTGGCAGCAGCTCAGAGGGTGTGGCCAGCAGAGGACAGGAGCAGAGCTGATGGGCGTGCAGACCCTGGGAGCCCTGGACCCCATGACCACTGATTTCCTACCCCATATGTGCCCAGGTCATGAAGACCTACCACATGTACCACGCGGAGAGCATCAGTGCGGAGAGCAAGCTGAAAGAGGCTGAGAAGCAGGAGGAGAAGCAATTCAACAAGTCAGGAGAGCTCAGCATGAACCTGCTCCGGCATGAGGACCGGCCCCAGCGCCGCAGCTCCGTGAAGAAAATCGAGAAGATGAAGGAGAAGGTGAGTGGGGATTTGGGGGTGGGTCGGGGGAAGATGAGGGCAGGAGTCTCCACCCTTCTGTTCACGATTGCCATCCTCTGAACTGAGACTGGGTCTGGCCTTCTGGTCGACCTCAGTCCCCTCTAGGCTGGCTGGGCCCGATCTGCTGGTTGACCTCAGCAGCCTCCAGGCAGAGCCCGGGACCAGTCTGCTGCCCCCGGGCTGAGACTGGGTCCAGTTTACAGGTGGATCCAAGTGGCATCCAGTTAGCATCTGGCTGATTTTGGAGCCGGCCTGCTGGTCAATCACCCAGTCTCTAGGGTGAGACTGGAGCCATTCAGTTGTTGAGAGAAAATCCTGGGAGTTCTCACCACAGGTGAAAATTGTTTTCCCTCTGTCTCCTTTCTTTTCTTTTTCTTTGTATCTATGTGAGGAGAGGTTGACTGAACCTATGGTGGTCCTCATTTCACAATAGATGTGAATCAAACTTTTCTCCCCTCTGCCTTAAACTGATACAGAGATTTATGTTGACCATTTCTCAATAAAAGTGAGAAACAATTTCTCAATAAATACAAAACATGTAATCTTTGGAACACACACACACACAGCACCATGGCAAGATTCCATATTATATGTAATGGGGTGACTAAAATTAAAAAAGCAGACATTAACAAGTGTTGGTGAGGATATGGACAAATTGCAACCCTTGCACACTGCTGGAGGGAATGGAACATGGCTGGCCATTTTGGGAAATGGTTTGAGAGTTCCTCAAAAGTTTAAACAGAGACATAGTTACCATATGACTTAACAGATCTACTCTTAGTATCTGCTGGAAAAAAGTGAAACCCAGTTCACACAACACTTGCATATGCATACTCACAGGAGCTTTAATAATAACAGTCAAAAAGTCAACACAACCGAAATGCCCATCAACTGAGAATAGATGGATAAAGTGTGATTGATCCTTGTGGAATATTATGCAGTCATCAAAAAGAGTGAAGCATTGCTTTGTACTAAAACAAAAAATTAATTTTGAGAATAGCATGCTAAATGAAAGAAGCCCATCCCAAAGACCCCATATTGTAGGAGTCCATTAATATTAAGCATCCAGAACAGATTATCCAGAGAGACAAATAAGTGGTTCCCAGAGCCTGGGAGGAGAGTAGGGCGTTACCCACTTTTTTTGAGTGATGAAATATTTTGTCGAGATAGTGGTGAATGCTTGTGATACACGCTGTGACCAGACTCAAGTTTCCATTCAGAATTGCTGCTAATTAGCCATTTGGTTCTTGGACAAGTCACTTCTCCTCAGTTCTCTTCCCCTGTAATGCAGATGAATTCAACTAAGATATCTTTGATTTCCTTTTTAACTGTAAAGTTTGTGAGCTCATGAAAGACTGAAAATGAGTAGAGTAGCCCCTGATGAAGGGCCTGGGGGCATGTGGGTGTTTGGAACCCAGCCCATGGCTAGAACGAGAGCCCGATCCCTCCTGTTGATGGTTCTGCTCTTACAGTTGCTCCTTTCTTCTTCCAGAGGCAGGCAAAATATTCTGAGAACAAGCTGAAGTGCACCAAGGCCCGGAATGACTACTTGCTGAACCTGGCGGCCACCAATGCAGCTATAAGCAAATACTACATCCACGATGTCTCCGACCTCATCGATGTGAGCTGGGGGGCTGGCATGTTCAGCCACTGAAGGAGGGCTTGGCCTTGTTCTCAGCTAGCTGGGCCGGGTCTCAGGTGGAGCCCTGCTGGGTCTTCAGGCAGGAGAGCCTGGGGCCTGGGACGTGATGCCCCCTTGTGGCTCAGCCGTCATGGGTGGAGAGGGCCTCGAGTTGCTGCTGCAGGTGGGGTTGGGCAGCTGTATATTCCATTTGCATCTCCCAAGAACACTGCTCTGCCCCAGGCCCTTTGCTGGGATTGGGGCCACAGGGGTAACCAGACACACTCATGCCCTGGGGGCTTCCCAGGTGGTAAAGACATTCATATGTTGCGAGCCCCAGGTCAAGTTCACCAGCCACATGTGCACGGAACAGTGAGGGAGGCAGGATGACCCTAGGGAGAAATTGGGCAGATGAAGGTCAGGAGGGCGGAGCACTGACTCCTGAGTGGCAGCTAAGCAGGACATGCTGGAGGACAGCCGGGCCTGGAGACAGATGTGTGGTGTCATGGGGAAATGACCATGCCACCTGTGCCAGAGCTGAGACTGTGGCTTCCTGCCCCACGCAGTCAGGGACCTGCCCAGTGGATGCTTAGCAAAGGTTCCGTTGGACGGGTACTCTCCTCTCGGCCTGGCATCCTGACTGGAAGTCGGGGGTCACTGCTCTTGCCTTGGCTGCAGAGGAGACCCAAGTCCAGACGCCACCTGTCCTGCCTTTCAGCTTTCCTCTTCACACCCTCCAGCCCTTTCATTTTTTTCTTTTACCCCATGTTTGTGGAGCACCTACTAGGTCTGGGTGCTGAGGCACAGCAGGGGACAGGAGCCCGTGGGTCTGCAATCTCGGGGCTTGCCTGACCTATTCATAGGCAACTGCAATCAATGCCAAGTGGCAGGTTCACAGTGAGGGAGGTGCTGGAGATGCAGACGCCCCTGGAGGGAGCTCTGTTGTAAACGCCAAGTGGGGAGAGCACCAATGAGGGCTTCCTGGAGGAAGGGACATCTAAACTGAAACCCAAAGGAGGAACATTTAGGCAGGAAGAGTGAGGAAGAGGGAGGGCCTGCTTGAGGGCTTAGAGATAAGAAAGAATCTGGGCAGCGTGGGGGTGAGGAGAAGCTCTGCTCTCGCCCCAGTCGCAGTCCCCACCCAGCTGCCTCCCAGGGTGCTAGGACAGGTTCCCAAGGGTGCCTCTGTAACAGTGACGGGCAGGAAACGTGACGCCCCTCCCATCGCCACTCTCATGCGCCTCTGTCCTGTGCCCCTCTCCAAGTGCTGTGACTTGGGCTTTCACGCCAGCCTGGCCCGCACCTTCCGGACCTACCTCTCCGCCGAGTACAACCTGGAGACCTCTCGCCACGAGGGGCTGGATGTCATCGAGAACGCAGTGGACAACCTGGACTCCCGGAGTGACAAGCACACGGTCATGGACATGTGCAACCAGGTCTTCTGCCCCCCCCTCAAGTTTGAGTTCCAGCCCCACATGGGGGATGAGGTGGGTGCCTCCCTGGGCCGAGGCCTGTTCTCCCCTGGGCTCCCAGAGGTGGGTGGGAGGGGAGCACCAGCCCCAGTCCACCTGCAGGCCTGGGTCAACTTCTTGGTCCATGAGCCTCCCCGGCTGAGGAGTTTACGCCCTCGTTTTCTAGCCCAAGCCCCACACCTGCAGGACAGCAGGGCCATAGCTCCCCTCAAAATTCTGTCCAGGAGACCCCAAGGGAGTCCCACCTCTGACATAGTCATCATGTTCTCGCCTCAACGTCTGTGAATGGCGGGAAGGCTGGGTCTCACCACAGCCACCAGCCACAAGCTCCTCCCCGGGCCCCCCGTCCCGCAGCCTTGAGCCCTTGGTCTGCCCGACAACGGGGTTTCCTGCGTGGTCGTGCTGATCGGACCCTCACAAACTTTGGCCCCAGAGCAGCATGTTAGCTCACTACCCGGGTTCCCCATGCCCTTCTGCTGCTCCCCAGGGCTCAGACTCTAGTTCCTGGAGCAGACAGGAGGACGGCCACCAGGCCTCAGACCTGCTCCCCGTCTCTTCCACCTCTACCCCCAGGGACACACAGACTTTCTGCTACTGGCCCCATTCCCTCTGTCTAGATACATCCCACTGTGCATGTGGGATTTGGGGGGACCTGGCACAGTGGTGTACCAGACTCCCCTACCAGCCTCTGGGTGCCGGTGGGAGCTCAGCCAGGCGTCCACAGCATCTGTAGGGCAGGGAAGGCTGAGGAACACCTCAGAAGGGGGCATCTGTCAGGCCCTCCGGATGGCACTGCCCGCTCTCTCCACGAGCACATGGAGGTCCCGCAGGCTCCTGCAGCAGCTGCCCCATCCCTCTGCCCTCACTGCTGGCCCTTTGGCTCCACTGGTTGCCCCTGCTGACTGTGGGGTTTGGGCTGCCTTGTAAGTGGTAAATCACTGGCAGACACAGAACCCTCCTGTGCCCTGGGGGCTCAGCTAAGTGGTGCCAGCAGCCCAGCCCATGGCAGTGACAGGTGCAGAAGAAAGAGTATTTCTCCCCCTCCCCTCATGACCCCTCCCTAGCACCCCGGGGACTGTGCAGGACGTCCAGACTTCCTGCCTGGGGCTCTGAGCCCCCTGCGCATTGTTCCCAGTCTCCACTCTACATTCACTGGCTTCTCTTTGGCTCTTGACGTCTTCCCTCGGCTTCCTGCCCCGAAATGTACATGGTAGCGTTGCTTAGTGACGCGATGCTAATTCTTGTAGTGAACAAGCCTCAGGGCTGCATAGACGTGGGTGACCTGACTGGAGGCCACACCTTGCTCTGGGCGAGAGTGGCCTCTGGAGGAGAAAGACCCCAGGTGCCCCCTGGAGTTGCAGGCACAGCTGTGTCACCTTGGGCAAGTCACTTAACCTGCCTCCACCTGTTTCCTCTGCTGGCCCTGGGGGTGTTAGTGCACCCCAGGACGGAGGTGACGAGGGTGCTGGGCCACCACTGATGGTGCTGTCCTTTCTGCAGGTGTGCCAGGTCAGCGCGCAGCAGCCCGTGCAGACGGAGTTGCTCATGCGGTACCACCAGCTGCAGTCCAGACTGGCCACCCTCAAGATAGAGAACGAGGAGGTGAGTGAGCCCCGCGGCCCTGAGGGGATTCTCGCGAAGGCCTGGCTTGTCCTGGGAGTCCACTCGCCATGGACCGGGGCCTGGAGCACTGGTCTGTAAGACGGACTCTATCGCACAGCTACTGAACCTCCCGCCCCGAGTCTGTAATTGTGTGGGAAAGTGCTCACAGATGTTAAGTTAAAGAAATGAGGAAGGAGGGGGGACCTGAATTCACCAGGAGGTGACATTTGAGCTGAAATCTGGGTGACAAGACACTGAGCAACAACAATCTAACAAGGGATGTAGATGCCTTTTCTCCCAGGACTGGTTTTGCAGTGACCCTCCCTCAAAGTACGGGATCCCCCATGCAGGGGGACGCGTGTGCCCTCAAGTGCGTGGCCTCCCGGGTCCCTCTCCATTCCAGGAGAGAAGGTGGGGTGCAGAGAATGGAGCACACAGCTTGTGCCTGGCGTGCTCCTTGAGGCTCTGTCTCAGCCAGGCCTTTGAGGAGGCAGAGAGCCAGAGTCCCTTTACGGGGGCCGTCTGTGGTCTCCCTCCCTGGATGAAGAGCCGTCCCTCTTCAAGGGAGCAGGCTCCAGTTGGACTGTGTCATCAGGTGCAGACCGAGAACCCTGAGTTCCTTGTCTCACAGCATTCTCCAAGGTTCTCTCTGGCAGAAGCAATACAATAGCGTGCCTTAAGATCAGCCCACGCAGGCCAGCCCTGCACCGGCTCCAAGGCCTCACTGTCCACATGCACGTCCGGGGAATGGTGATCCTTGAGCTGCTTGTCAGCTCCGTGTGGAGGACGCGAAGAAACTGTTGGAGAAGCACGTTGAGGTGTCTGAGGCTTGAGGGGGCTCATGGGCTTTTTACCCCGTTGCTTCCCAGGTCCGGAAGACCCTGGACGCCACCATGCAGACCTTGCAGGACATGCTGACGGTGGAGGACTTTGACGTCTCCGACGCCTTCCAGCACAGTCGGTCCACAGAGTCTGTGAAGTCAGCTGCCTCCGAGACCTACATGAGCAAGATCAACATCGCCAAGCGGAGGGCCAACCAGCAGGAGACCGAGATGTTTTATTTTACGGTGAGTGGCGCTGGGCCCTGGACCCGCTGCCTGCTGACCTGCTGGCCGGGACATTTGGGGAACCGTCCCTTCTAGCAGGAGCCAGCAAATCCACGCGCGTCTCCCAATATCTTCTCAAATTAAGTCGCCTGACTTGGCTTTTGTGAAATGCGGAAAGTGAGTTCCCAGCAGGGAGCATCTCATCTGGGACTGACGAGAGGAAAACGGCCGAGGAAGCTGGTGCAGGCCCCAGAAACCGCACTCAGGCCGTGCATGTCCTCGTCTTGTTGAGGACATAAATTTGGGTGTGCGCTTTGGAAACAGCGCCCTGGGTGGTTGAGCAAGTGGCTGGCCCATCCTGCAGAAGCCAGGATTTCTTCCCTTCCCCTGACCACAGGCAGGGAGCAGAGGACTCTGTAACACCCTGTGCCTTGTCTTGCAGAAATTTAAAGAATACGTGAATGGCAGTAACCTCATCACTAAGCTGCAGGCCAAGCACGACCTGCTCAAGCAGACCTTGGGTGAAGGTGAGTTGGGGTGGGGGTCACTTTGAGCTTTGTTGTGGCCCCTTGAGTTGTTTCAGCCAGACGTGCGGGGCCATGGGTGGAAGGAGGCCACCAGATTGGCCAGGGCGGGCTGGACCGGCCGTCCTGGCACAGATGGTGTTGTAGGTTGGCTGCAGAAAATGTGGGGCAAGCAGGGCTTCGTTCAGGTTGTAGATGAGGGTCCCGGGCGAGATGGTGAGGGGGTCTCTGATCAGTAGGGAGTGGGTCCAGGGACGCAGGGGTGCACACTGGTGCTCTCAGCAGATATTGTTTGATGAGAGTACTCCTGGAGTGCCAGGAGTCCAGGCCTACATGTGGATGCAGAGTTTAATCCTTGAGCAGACTGAGGGTTGGCTTCCAAGCACAGCCAGTTAGGGCTGGACAATTCTTGGTCAACGACAGACTGTATCGAGAGAGGCTCTGCCACCTGGCCGGGTGTGCAGTCAGCCAATCCACGGTGGTTGCACTCTATATCCTTTGCGCAATGAAACTGCCTAAGGACACATTTCTCAATGACACCAGAGATAAACCTGAACTGCTCTCAGAACACACAGGCCTCTCATCCTTTGGTCTCTACCGGCTTCCCTGACCTCATCTACCATTCTCCACTCCGGCCACACTCAGCTCCTTTCTGCCTTTCAAAACTCATCGGGCTTATTTCTGCCCCAGGGACTTTGCATCTGCTGTTCCCACTGCCTGCCATGCCCTTACCCCAGGTCTCTGTATGGGTGGGAGGCATCTGGAACTTGGTGTGACTCTGCTAGGAGAGGCGGAGCGGAACTGGGGTTTCTGGAGCTGCTGGGCCCTGCCTGGCACACCCTGGTCCCTCATCCAGGTAGTCTTGTTTTCTGTTTGGGAAGGGCTGTTGGCTGAAGGATGTGCCCCCTCAAAACGAAAGAACACATGGTCGAGGAAGCAGAGGGCCCATATGAGAGAGGTAAAGGGAATTTCTAACGTAGTGATGCCAAGACAACAGCTTGCAGCAGGTCTCGAGATCAGCCAGGCGTCTGGAGGGCAGGAGGACTGGCATGGACTGAGTGGGGCTGGGCACGGGGCTGGTGCTCGGCGGCTGGTGGGGCTTGCCATCCCCACACGTCCTCACTCCCCACAGCCAGCGGCTGTGCTTTCCACATGTGCCTCCCCGACCCCTGTCCCCTCGGCCACCATTGGGGGGGTGCCAGGATCTGCAGATGCTTGGTTTTTATTTGTGAACCCCAAGACACTTGTGACCTACCTGTAAGATCTACCTGTGAATTCTTAAAAAGTTCAATAGCCATGACATTCAGTCAGACAGAAACATGGCTGGATCGCCACGGGAGCAGCACAGACGGAGAGGGCTGGCGGTCAGGAGAGGACAGGACAGCTGGGAAGGCTTGAAGGAATGACGAGGGCTCGGAGGCATCACCCAGGCCTTACGTTCACATCAACGGGACTTTTCCCATCAGCTTTATGACATAATCACTACAATGTCATGTGCCTATTTTGTGTGTAGAAATCCGTTCTGACAGCCACACACCCAGGTATAACCACCATCCAAGTCAAGGTCAAGAACATCTTCAGCGCCTTCCCCAGAGCTCCCCTGTGCAGTCTGTTCCCCATCCTCCACCCCAAGAAAGCATTGATTTGGCTTCTGTCACCCTGGATTGGTTCTGTGTGCTCCTGCTAGTGGGAGCGGGGACACCTTGGGGAGGCATACCTGCCTCGGGTGGTAGTTATCGATACCTGCCAATGTACTGACTCAGTATTTGTGGGGTAAGGGTGGGAAGAGTGAGTTGTAACGACCTTTTGCCTTTCCCTTCCCCATCTAAATCCTGCCCCTCCTGACATTTCAGTATTAGGCCAGGCAGCAGGGGCCGTGGAGGAGTGTGGGTAACAGAGAAAACCAGCGCTGGGGGAGTGTAAGGGGCAGCTTCTGGGCCTAGCATTAATGAGGTTCTTGAGGTCCTGGTGGGGGTCCATGGGGGGCTGGTTCTCAGGGGCTGTATAGCGAAAGGGGGGGCCGTGTGAGTCTGTCGGTGGCTTCTTGTGTTTTCAAAATCAGATGTCCTGGATTTAGAAAACTAGGTGTCCTTTAGAAAAATTAGATCCTAGATGAGAAAGGGCTTCTCTCCAGCTCCCCCATTAGCACTATCAGATTTAAACTTTTATTGTTGTCCTTGCCTGAATGGCCTTAATGAAATAATCATTGGTTTTGGTTGGCATAACTCCTGGCCCACTTGATCTCCCAAATTGATTTAGCCTTCAGCAGTTCCTGGCTCTGAGATGTGATTTTCTAGTCCTCCTTCTCAGTTTCGAACGGATTAGAACAACAACCACCAGGAAAACGCCTCTTCAGAAGTCTCAGGGCTGCACGAAAGAGCCACCGAGAAGGCTCTCCAAAGCCCTGCTCTCTAGTTAGCAGCAGGGAAAGGCTGGCTGTGGTGTTTAGATTACTGGGGTAGGCCTTGGGAAGCTGGTCAGTTGCGAGGAAGTTGTCTTTTTTTTTAAAATAAATATTTTTTTTGTTCTAGAGTAGTTTTAGATTTACAGAAAAGTTGCAAACATAGGACAGAGTTGCCATGTGCCCCACATCTCATTTCCCCTGTAATTAGCATCTTCATCTGCCACGATTCTGGTGTGTTTGTCACAATGAAGGAATATTGATAGAAATTCTTATTACCTAGAGGTAGTAAATTTATGAATTCCTGGAAAACACTGAAACTGAGGCCACATCTTTATTTTGGCCTCTGCATTGCATGATGAAGGTAAATGTGGATTCTCAGGGCATCAGAATTTGCCACCAGGAGAACTTGCACTGACCTCCACCCATGGGTTCTTGTCCGCTGGTGCAGGGGCTGATGGGCAGATCAAAGAGAGCTCGAAATCTTGGCTTGTTCATCCTTCCACGTGTCCTCAGATGACCCCCCTCCCCTGTGAACATTGGCTCTTCCATTCTGTAGAAACTCTTCCAAGAGTGGGTCTGGGTCAGGTGACACCTGCACCAATGGTCTTTTATACCATCTAGGGCTACTTTGCCTTGGACAACCAGAACATTTTGAAAACAGGTAAAAAATAGGGGCCAAGTGAAATATTTCTGCTGAAAAGATAGACACTTCTTTTAATGAAATGAGGTATCGTGTCAAGCGCTTCAATTTCTCTTTTGACAACAGCTCAGAGAAGCACCAGTCAGAGGAAATACAAGTTTCTCAGAGTCCCCTCCACTTAGAAGTGAGTCTCTGAACAGTTTTGAATCCAGACGCTCAAGTCAGAAAACATCCAGGGGCCCTGCACACCCACCTTCCTCGTGACCAGTGTGGCCACCGCATCTTGGGGACGAGAGCCAGACCCTCACGAGCCCTTGGCTGTCACGATGTTGTCTTCTTGGCCTGAGCATTCTTAACACTATCAACATCTCTGGCCTTCTTTCGGTTTTTGCTCTGGGTGTCTGTAAACTCCCAGGGTTTATACCTAAGACTTTTGGGTGGTTTTTCAATTTAGCCCCCATAGACCCTGGAGGAAGAACAGCACATTGTTGCAAGGGAGATGCGATGGAACCTTCCAGACTGCGCTAATAGCCTATTCCAGAGCAAAATGTCCACCAGGCCCAGGCAGTCTGACTGGCTAGAAAATGACTGAGCCACCAACTATAAAATAATTTCTTTAAATCCCAACATCTAGAAGGTAAAGGGCAGAGCGCTTTGATCACTGGTATTTGTTAGGAATTGAGACAACATATTCCCAGAGGAGGTCGTGGGGTTCTTGGGAGCTGGAGTGAGCGTCTAACGATGCAGGAGGACTGGATTCTTGACAGAAGAAAGTGGGACCTAAACCCAGTGACCCCCACCTTTCTCCCACGCTGCCCCACCCATCTGGCCATTCACCAGCCCACCCATCTATCCCAGCATGCGGGAGCTGCACCCAGGCAGGGTGGGATGTGGTATGTGCTCAGGCAGGTCTCCTGCCTCGTGGGGAGAGGCCGCCAGCAGTAATCCAGCTGTGGGGTACAGAATGGAGAGTCGGGGCTGAGAGGGAGAACAGTTGTGTCTGTGGGGAGGGCAGAAGGGGGGGAGACCTTAGAATAGGCGATCAGAGAGGTCCCCGGGGGAGGTGACACTCATCCCGAGGTTGCTGCCACGTGCCCAAAGGGCAGGAACAAGGAGCCAAGGCTGAAAGGCAGGTGGTGACTGGGGGTACCGGAGAACGGGCAGACCTGGAGTCCTGACAAGGTGGAGCAAGGAACGCACAGGCCCCCTCGGGAAGTCGGAGTTGCAGGGTTGCCTGCGGCCCTCCGGAACTTCCCAGTGGCTGGCCGCGGGCTCACCCCTCCCCGCCCGTCAGCTAATCCGGGCCCTGGGTCTACAGGAAAATGCAACTCAAATTAAGGAGGACACATTTGTCCGCTCTGCCTAAGGTCTCTCCTTCCCTGCTTTTGTTCTCTGGCTAAAAATAAAACAAAATAAACATCAGTTTACGCTTTTCTTTCCAGGGGAGAGAGCAGAGTGCGGCACAACCAGGTAAGAGCCGGGGGACTTGTTTTCTTCCACCTGCTGCCTGAGGGGCGTGTGGGGTGAGGTGGGGTGAGGGCAGGGGAGGGGGCAGGTGGGACCTGGACCCCGCAAGAAGCTGGGGTGTTGTAGAGTGGCAGCTCTTCCCCGGTGCCTCAGAGCGTGGCGCGGCTGCGCGGGGAAGGGGCAGATGTGCTTTGCTTGTTCTGGCCAGGACTGGCGAAAGCTGCCCGCCTCCAGGCTGGTGCCGGGGAGGGGGTCTCCGGGAGCTGCAGCAGGGGGGTGTTTCCCCTCTGTGTCATCCCTCTGGTGGGCCAGGCCTAGCTGTTTCAGAGGGGCTGCCGGTAGAGGCCAGAGGCTGTGGGGCAGCTGTCGCCCTGTCTCCCCATCCATCATCTGGCTGCTGAGCAACCCCCCAGCCTCCGCGTGGGGCCCACCCAAAGGTCCCCATCGCCAAGGCTTTGGATTCGGCTCCTCTGACGCGCCTCTGGGCACACGCATGCGCATCTCCAGACACCCGCACGGCGACCCCCGGCCGGCTCCCTGGCTTTGGACCTCACAGCCACTTGGACTGATGGGGAGTCCCTTGCTGGGGAGTAGCCACCGGGCACCCTCTGCTTGCTCTCCAGCCTGCTCAGCTCGCCCCCTCGCGCTTTTCCCCTGAGCAGACCAGAGCCAGCGGACATTTCCCACACGGCCGCTGGTGCTGACAGGCTGCCCTTCTGCCACCAGACCTCTCCTCTGCTTTCAGAGTTTAGAGCCAGCCCGGCCCACCCCTTCCCGAGTCCCCAGCAGCACCTACCTGCTGCCCAGCACAAACCCACCGTGGGCCCAAGGCTGTGCTTTTCCATGCGAGGCCATTGAGAGCCGCCTTTGCCTTCCCCTGGGCCCAGGGACCCGATGACTCCTTCCCCAGCGTTCTGCCCAGTGCCCAGGGCCCCGGAGAGCTGTCACACTGGGCAGCGCTCCCCTCATCCGAAAGGGACTCCACTGGGAAGAGCTTGGAAAGCTCTGGGGTTTTCAACCTGCGGGACCCCCGATGGGGAGTCTGAGGAGGCCCCAGAAACCTCCCTCGCCTGCGCAGCTGTTCCTCTGGGCCCAGCAGGCTGGCACTCATAACGCAGGGCAAGGGCCTTCCAGCTCTGTCCAGCAGATGAGAGAGGGTCACTCTCTAAGAGCCTTTTAGAAACAAATCCCTTATTTATTTACTTTTTTTCTGGCAAAGGATGTTGTCAAAGACCCAAACCAATAGAAACCACATTTTCCACCAAAGTCTGCAAGTAGTGAAACAGATGGGGGGTGAACTGAGCCATCCTTCACTTGCTAACTCCTAGAACTCCAGCAGGAGATCATTCCAGCAGATTCCAGGCCCAGGCCCAGGGTCAACCTCTGAGAAGAGTTGAGGGTTATAAAAAAAAAAAAGTCCTCTGAGATGTTGTTTTCCAGGGCCGGGGAAATCCCGGCTAGGATCACCAGACGTCCCACCGAGAGACCCCGAGCCACACTCTGGCTCCAGCGCCCCCAGCAGACCCAGCCATCTACGCTCTGGCCCTGGGCCGAGGTCAGAGGCAACTCTGTTAGCAACCCAAAGCTTCCCCTTCCAAAAATCATTTTCAACCTGTTGTGCAACAGCTTGCCAACTTGGATGTGGCTTTTAAAATAATCAAAGAGACTTTGGGGGAGATGCTTCTGTTCTGTGGCTCTGCATCTTCCGCAGTTTCCTCCAAGTTCAGCGTCACTGTGGGTCATCATTAGGCAGGCCCCTCAGCTGGGTCGCTGCTGGCCTTGCACAGACGAACCAGTGTTTGCACCTGGGCTGCAACGCCTTCTATTTATCTGCACGTAAAAGCTTTATCTCAGAACGGCCCACATTCAGCATAACCTTGTCTTCTAGGTTGACCAGAGGCAATAATGCACTTGCACAGGCAGGGTAGGTGGTGAAGCCAGAGGCAAACAGAAGTTTCCATAATGTTTATGCACACTGAAGAGTGGCTTCCTCAACCAGGCAGACATGCCCCGGGATCTGGATTGTAGGTGGACTCCCTTGAGGTTTCTTGTCTTGCGGATACGACCCCACGCACCACACACACCCACCCACAGCCTCCCAGAGCCTGGCCACCCCTGCACAACAATATTGTTGCCATTTTGGGTGTTGACTCCCACGCTATTGAGTTGTCTGGGGAAGGTTTTCATCACAATCCTCTAGGTCACAGAACAATTTTGAGGCCAATTCCTGCATCGCCAACGTGTGTGAATTTTCATCTTGGTCGAAAGGCAGAAAGGGGAAATTGGTCTCTGGTTTCTCTTTCTTCCTCTCCGTGGCTTTCTTTGTTCCTGTTTTCCCTGCCTCTCTTTCTTTCTTTCCTTTTCGCTCTGCAACTGAGCAGCAGAAGAGATGGAAGGCTTAGGCTGCCCCACTTTCCTTGGCTGAGCTGCCCCCCTGCTCCCCACTTTGTGCCCCACCCAGCTCTTCAGTAAGTCGGTATTGGTTTGATGTCGTGCAAAGCTGGGATAGCTACGTTTCCTTGTCAGAGACCCCGCCGGTGCGGTGCGGAGCACACACACACGCGGGAGGAAATCCTGGGGTGATTCTAACAGGCCTTTCCTCTCTGAATTGGACAGGAGAATTGGGGAAAAGTGACCTGTTCCCCCTTATTTCATTTGTAAAACTTACAGGAAAAAAAACCACCCTAGGACTCATTTCGAGGCAGCCCCCCAGCTGGGCACCCTGGACACCCTCGATGTCGGGCGTCTCACACTGGCAGGAAGTCGCTACTCTTGCTGGCCATGGGCGTCTAATTGATCATTTACTGCCACTGCTGGGTGTCCTGGGATAAAATCAGTTCCCCACACTCACACCAGAGCCTGGAGTAGGAAAAGCTGAATTCTGACACCCCTCCCACCCCGGTCACATTATCTGGGTGACCTTGGGCAAGCTTCTTACCCTCTCACGGGCGCACTTGCCTTATGTTTAAAGTGGATTTTAGAACTTTGCCTACCTCACAGGTCTGAGTCCATTCAAAGCCAAAGTCCAGAGCGAGATGTCGAAACTGCCACCCTCAGGTTACCCTCAGCCCCCAAACTTAAAGCCGATGACCTTGTGTCGACATTTTGACACTCTTTTGGCATTTGGAAATTCAAAAGCAGACCCGCGAGGAGAAACACCATCCCCACATACCTCAAAAATCAAGTCACTTATGAAAAAGAAATGACATGGACTTAGCTAACCAAGTTGACATGGATCCGAGATGGGCTTGAATCAATCTTGCCTGTTGTTTTCTTTTCAAAATTTTGGTCTGTGCTGTTATTTTGGTTCCAGTGTTTGGGTGGCATGATATTTGGGGGTGTCCTTGCCCATGCATGTCCTGGAGCTAGCAGCATTTGCTCAGCACTCACCCCCCGTAGGGGAGTTGTTTGGGGCTCTGGGGGTGGCTGGGCTCCTGAGGAGACGGGCTCGAGGCTGGTGAGCAGAGGAGTGGGCCTCTCGCTGCCCTCGACTGGCTCCACAGGCCATAAGATTTCCTGCCCATTCACAGAAATCACTCAAGATTTGGGGGACCAGGTCTTTGCTGGTCTCGTGTGGGCATAATCTGTGCCAGGTTGAGTTCCCATTTCTTGCCCCCAAATTGTGAGCCAAGCCATTTGAAAATGAACCGCCTCTTTGGTTAGAGGCCCCCCGCCTAGCCTCAGAGAGCCTTTTGCCCTGGAAGGCTGGCAGCGCTGAATCAGGCCCACCTGGGGGACGAAAGATGAGCAAATAAGCCAACACAGGTATATGCATGGTGAGCGACCCGGGGAGCTGGTCCAGTGTCCGTGGCTGTGTCGCTGCCCCTGGCGAGCTGTGGCATGGGTTCCCCTCCCTGCGGCTCAGAGCGCCGCACAGGGACTGGACATCCTAAAGGAAAGCAAGACACTTTCAACCTGACCCTGTGGCCCTCCGCCGGCAAGGCGAGTGGAAGGGACGAGTCCTTGGCTGGGTGCAAAAAAGCCTAATATCCCAGGACTGGCCCTTGCAGCCCAGACGTCTGGTTTGGGGCCTGGATCTGCCAGTCCCCTTCCCTAGGCCTCAGTTTCTCCCTCTGTAAAGTGGGGCCTTGTGTGCAGGGCGCGGACAGTGTGATATTGGAAAGCGCTTCAGTGGACAGTGTATTGACAGGATACAGGATAGAGTCGTCATCCTGGGTCACCTCCTCTTGGCGCCACTGTCCTCATCTCCAAAACGAGAATGATAATCATCTGGCTCTCGGGTCAATGAAAGATGAGTCAAGTGGGCCTGAAATGCCAGGAGGCCAGGAAGATGGGCACCCCAGCTTTTCGGGAGCTGAGGCCTGGTGAGGAATTTAAGCCAAAACAATGGAAAATAACCTTGTCGTCATCTCTGAAAGTCTCTTGCTTTCTCAGGCTACAGATGATACCCCCTCCCCTGGTCCCCCTCCGCCTGGTCAGCTTTGCTGGCTGGTGGGAGCTTCAGTGTTTTCCTGGACACGTACTGTTCCCCGCCATGTAGAGCTCATTCGTGTTGTATGAGCATTGCTCCTGCCTCCCGCGGTGGGTAAATTACGATGCCCTGATGCATCCAAAGGCCTCAGATGGAGCATTGAACCCCAGCGCGCTGGGGCTTCGGGAGCTTCATCTGCATTTGTGTTCTCCTCCGCTCGTGGGCTTCGAGAAGTCGTTCCCAGTTGTGTGTTTACGTTGGTTGCTTTCTTGATTTCTTTTGTTCCATTTTCCCCTAGGCCCCCCTGTCTTCCCCCTAAACCACAGAAAATGAGGAGACCTAGGCCTCTCTCAGTGTGTAGCCATAAACTATTTAACGGCTGTATGGAAGCGTTCATTAAGGTACTTGCTGGGAGCCACAGAGTCCGCAAATGCGCCCAATGTAATGGCAGCCTCGCTCCCCCTCCCTGGCCCGCAGCCTGCCCTGCCCGGACGTGCAGGCCTCGCCCTCGGCCAGGCCCGTGGCCAGCTGGCTCCTCACCGCAGCCTGCCCCCAGCCTCAGCGAGGTGTCTGAACACGGCGCGACTTTTGTCTGTGACCGGCTGCCCCTAAGTGCCTTCCTGTGATTCTCAGCCTCAGGGCGGGAGCAGGAGCCTCAGAAACCCAAGGAAGTCCGAGTGGGGTGGAAGTCCAGGGCCGCGGGCCTGCAGCCTCTGCGGGCCCAGCCCGCCCGAGAGCCATAGAGAAACCCCCTTAGCTAGCTCCGCACCCACCCCTCCCAGGAGGAGAGTGGTTGGAAGCGACACAAAGAAAATCCCTGCAGGAACAGCGAGTTTTAGACAAGTGATTTTTTCCCTCTCAGTTGAGACTGTTCCACCAGAGGAAACACCGGGAACTTTTATGAGAGAAAAACCCTAGTTTCCCACCTAGTTTTGCTTCTTGTCAGGCAGCGTGGAGAGGCGGGGGTAGCCCTCTAAGGGCCCCAGGTTAGCCTTTTCCACCTTGATCTAAAAAGGAAGGCATTTCAACGTGGTGAGTTTCTCTTTGCTTTTCTCTTGGCTGCAAGGGGCGCAGAGTGCAGCCGTCCAGATACAAGGACTCAGGCAAATTAAGATGGGGATGGAGTGGAAAGGGCAGCCGGTAGGGCAGAGACTCAGAGAAGGGAGATGCATTTTAGAACTAGTTGGGGTGGGGTCCCTGCAGTTATCCGAGGGCCCACCGCCATCTGCTGAAATTCTGCAAGAAGCACTCGTTGACTGGAAAAGAAAGTATATTTATTGGAGACGATTGCATTTCTTTATAGTCACGTGTGCTTAAGCCACGGGCCGCCGACACAGCTCCACACCCTCCTCTGCACACCTACTGTGTGCGAGGCAGCTCACCGGCGGACGTGCGTTCAGCATGGCCTTTGTCTCAAGGTCTGTTAGCTCTCAGAGAATGAACGTGCAGGAGGACGCCCGTTCTACTCTGTGAACAGAAGACAATTTCTTCGGCTTCCCATGCTCTCTGCAAGAAGAGTCTGTGAACGAAGAACCTCCAGCTTCAAAACACCACCAACCTATCAAAGGTTTTTCAACAAGATAACTTCACTGGGACTTGGTGACTGTGACGTGGCGCAGCCAGGCCAGAGCCCCCGCCTAAGAGAGATGGCCGGCGCTGTGGGAGTTAGTTTCTTAAATTCGCAGGATGTTTTTCAGAATCTTTTATTTTTTTGTAGAACCCAGTTTTGATGATGAGTGTTGAAGCCCAGGAGGTCTACCTCCAGGGCAGAGGAGGGTCTGTAAAAGAGAAAGCCCATTGCCTACCTCAGAGTGTGGCAGGAGGGAGTGAGCCAGGCCTTGTTCCCAGCGCCCGCCCGGCCTGCCCTGGGGAGCACCACGAAGGGAGGAGGCGTCTCACTCCCAGACCCGGCAGTGGAGAAGCAGCTGCAGGACCTGCCATCGGCTGGACGCACATTCATTGGGTTCCGGTTTGGCCTCCTTGAGACCTGGATGAGACCTGACACCGTCCTGGAGCCTGACCGGCTGCCCGCGCAGGAAGAAGGAACACAGTGTCACCCCCACCCCTCAGTGTGGCGTAGTGAAAGCAGGGTCAGCCCCGTGATCCTCGACTCTATGTCCCCCAGACCTCCCTCAGCTTTGGGGGTCTCAGAGTGTTCTTGGTGGCAGGGGGAGGGGTCAAGCCAAGTGGACAGCAGGGAAAAGGTACCCATAGTGTTTGGCAGGAAGCACAGGAAGCGCTTTGGAGTTTGGAATCAGGTGGAATCCTGTCCACAGGCCCTTGATCAAACACGGTTTTGCTAAAATTCGCTTTGTACCAAGAGCCAGGTTTCCTGAGTGGAGTCCCCGGGACGGCAGGACGGCTGGCCTCAAAGGTGCGCGTCCTCCTTTTTGTGGGCAGCCGGGCCAACATCAGGGGGCTCAGGGGGGTCTTGCTGCTGGTGAGGAGGAAGCAGGCTCGGCCCTCGCCATTCCTGCAGTCTGACAGGGACAGGCGCCAGGTCACCGGGGCCCGAGGCAGCCGCACGAAGGCTGGCTGGGGGCAGGGTCCGACGTCCCACAGGCCCTGAGCCAGGGCGGCTTCCCCGCGGGCAGGCCGGCAGTCTCCCCGACCCCTCTGGCTGCCATTGCATTTCGGCATTCACAGACTCTGAAGGATCTGCTTACTCTAACTGATCTTACTCCTGCGTAATCTTTTCTTTTTCTCCTGCTCTGCTGCCTGTTTATTTTTTGTTATCAGAGGAAGAAGAAATGCTCGAACCAGGAACCAGGTATTTACTGGAAAGGTCCGTCAGCCCATCCTGCTGGAGGGGACCCGTCTTTAGTAGTGACCTCTAGAACGGGGCCCGCCTTGCCAGTAGTCAGGGCAACTCCCGACCACATTTAATCAGGAGAGAACCCCCCGTGGGGTGTTGGGGTGTGCAGGAGCCACGAAATGTCCGAACTCGTGGTTTTCCCTGTCCCTTTACATGAGCACTTTACACAGGGCTACTGTTTCCTCGCCCGAGGAACCGCACGATTTCATGTGGCCCCTTTTAAAGAAAAATTTTAAAAAGGCTTGATGTTCTTTAAGTGACCTGAAATCACAGGGGTCAAGCAATGATGGAGTCCCAGACATGGAGTCCAGCTCCTCGCCAGCCCTCTGTGGCCTGGGCCAGTCTGGGAAGACACAGGGGCATGTGTGAGAAAGGCTCCTTACTCAGCCTCGTTGACTACGCTTGGCCATGAGATGGCCAATGGCTGCCTTTAGTGGTTTCTAGAACTTTTCCTTGAGTCCTGTTTACTGTTAAGCCAAGTGTCTGTCTGGACGTTTGGGTTGCAACAGCCCGAGTAGAACTGGTCTTCCGTTCCCAGAGCTCAGCGTGCCCCCTGGGCCAGCCTGGCTTCCCCTGAGGGTGTTCTTGGTCGGCAGAGAGGCCTCGACCCGCCTTGTTATCCAGGATTCGGGGAACACGGGCTGAACTGGGGCTAAGTGGAGTGGGGTTGAGATCTCTTTCAGACCAGTGTGGCGGGTTCCCTCCCGCCCCTAGACCAGCCTATTAGGCCTCCTGAGCCCCGATTCCTTCCCAGCTGAGTGAAAGTCAGAGCATTTCTTTAAAGTTGTCCTAGCTACGCCTTTCCTGCACTTAACTGAAGACTTTCGATTTTAACTGTTTGTGGAGACTAGAATTAGCGATTCCTTGCTTGTCTTCCTACTAATCCGATGGTGCTAATCTTCCGGCTGGAGTGTGTAATCTGTGTTTGCATGTCTTCTTTCCTGGGGTGGTTGCCAAACCCAATACACCTCATGATTTTTCTTCCTTCAGGATTCAGGACAAGCCATCCCGCTTGTGGTTGAGAGCTGCATCCGATACATCAATTTATATGGTAAGCTCGGGCGGGGCAGTGCTCCCCATGCTCCAGAGCAGGTGCTAGGCTGTGCTCCGCGGGAGTGAGACACAACTCACCTTGGACGGCTCCTGTCCCTGCGCTGATTCTGAGGCGGGAATCGCTCTGGAAGCAGCTGCTCTTCTGACCCTGTCTTTTGAGCTTCATGCTCTGGGCACGGGAGGTGGTGGTGAGGAGACCCAGGGACTAGGAAATCCGAGGAGCAGGGACCGGAGAGCCCCTTCTGCTCCTTCCTCATGCCTATGCAGCCCCAAAGCTCTGAGTCTTGAGCTCAGAATCACTCACTTTAAGCTGCTAGATTCCAGTAAGCTCCATGAAGGAAATGGTGTCGGGGGTGCTGGTCATGGTGTTCCCGGCACTAAACTTGGCTGCATATGTTTGTCCAATCATCCCTCCAAAAGCATATTTCCAGAGTGCGTAGCAGGCACCATTTTGGACAATGGTGATGCAGGTAGAAATGAGATGGGGAAGACACAGGCCCTAGGTACCTTCTATTCGCCGTCAGAAGGCATGGAAATGAAAGAGCAGAGAGAGAGAGGGAGATAAATAATGGATTAATAAAATTCTTGCAGTGATAATGCCCAGAGACAATTTAAAAAGGGCTGTGAGTGACTGGAGGGGCAGGACGGCTTGGGCTAAGGTGGTAAGGAAAGGCCTCTCCAGGGTGGTATTTGAGCAGAAGCCAGCCGCGCAGTCCAGGTGGAGGGAGTGGCCAGTGTGAAGACCTGATGTGAGAAGGAGGACCCGTGTGGCTAGATGGGATGAGCCAGGAGGATGGGAAAAAAGACCAGCTGGAAATGCAATAGTAGTTAATAAAAGAAATGAAGGCGTGTTTATTGAGCATATGCTATGTACGAGTGAATCTTAGACCACAGCCTGCTTAGTAAGGGCAGACACATTCTGGATTGATTGCATGAATATATAGAGAAGCCGAATCTGAGGGAACGGCTCCCTGTCTCCCCACTTAATTCCCATTTCAGTAGAGGAGGCTCCTTCAAATGAGCGTGTTCAGTCCTGTAGGTTGCTGTTATGTTGGGTATCAGCATCTCTTAGCTCTGTAGAAGCGTATATACAAGAAGTTCAATAACCCAGTCTCCCCACGCTCTGACTCCAGGCCAGCGCGCACTCTAGACTCTCACTAGTCCTGAAGGAAGGAGGCTGTGTTGGTGAGAGGAGGCCAAGGTAGTGTCCCTGGCCTCGTCCAAGATCTCTGTGACACTCAGATGGCATTGGTGAGCTCAGGTCGAGCTATGCAGTACCAGTGAAGCTGGGGAACCCTGTGGCCAAGTGCATGCGTGGCTGTTCCTGAGCTGACCTCCTGTGGACTGGAGGATGGCCAGTGGGGACAGGAACTTGTGGCCTTTTCCTTGCAGCCCAGGTGGGAGCCCAGACAGCGAAGCGGATGTCTGCCCACCTCTGCCAGCCCCGGGCTCCTTCTGGGGGACCTTACCACGAGGGGGAGGAGGTGGTGGGAGCCCTGAGGTCTGCGGGCTCCAGGCCCCAGGCACGCTCTGTCTGTCTGTTGCAGGACTCCAGCAGCAGGGCATCTTCAGAGTGCCCGGCTCTCAGGTGGAAGTCAACGACATCAAGAACTCCTTTGAGAGAGGTGGGTGCCGGGCGGCCACCCCCAGCTGTGGCTCCGGGAAGACGGGTGGGTCCCCGCCTTCCTCTCGCTTTCTCCTGGAGGGAGTTCGTGTCTGCATTCCTTGTGTAAGGTCCCTGACAGGAGCCCCGAGCTCCTTTCCTTGGGCTTCTGAAAAGTTGCAACACATTGGAAATCCATTTTAGGCTTATTATTCCTAAACCCATTTTCCTTTTTCTTCTGACAAGCGTCAGCCAGGGTTTTAGTGAGATGCTGACGATGGAGACAGTTCTGTCGACAATGAAACTTGCCCCTTGAGCTTGAGCTCTTGCCGCAAACTCCTGGCACAAAGAAGGGGCGAACATCCCGGAAGGCAGGAATCAGTACCGGACCCGGGAGAGAGCCAGGGCTTCCTGTCGTCACCGCTTTGTCCTCCCTCTGACCAGTCCATATCTTCCCTGGGGCAAAGACCAGCCTGCTGCCAGTGTCCCTGTGGGGCCTGTGGCTGGAAGGGGGCTGGTGCCTTTTCACCCCATGCAGATTGGGGGGCGGGGTTTGATTTGAGGGCTGACATCACAACTTGAAAGATCTGGACCTTTCTAGAGACTGGGCCTGGCTTTTCGGAGGTCTGTTTCCTTCCCAGGAGAGGCGGCATGGCTGGGGGTGGTGCCATCTTGAACAGTCTCAGGATGGGCTTGGGGGGCTGTGATCTCAGAGAAGAATCCTGTGAGGAGGCCCCTTGCAGGGCTCCTGCTGAGAGTAATCTGCAGGCACTGCTTGGTGGCAAGTCTGCCTGTCCAGGACATGAACCCCCAGTGTGAACACAGCTTTCTCTCAGACTTGCCAGGAATTTTAGCTCCCGATCCCCCCCTGCAGGCAGCCAGTGTTCACACAAACCATCTGGTTTGGGCAGAAGTCACTGTTGGCTGCTAGAAGCACTGGGTAAAACCTGACGTGGATGCCTATCACTTATTTCCTCTTTCATACTTAGTGTTATGAAAGGGGAAGTCTACCTGTACAAGATAGAGATCTGGAGGCCATGGCCTCCACCCAGGGACCCTGGGGTTCACGCCACCAGTAGGGCACCTGACATCTTGGGCCTGCAGACTCACTGAGATGCCCACACACCACCTGTGTGTAGTCCTGCCCCACGCCTTCACCCCAGATCAATCCAAAGGGAGCAAAGAGAAATACAGGATAGAGGCTGCCTAGAGGACAGTGGCTTGGATTCTTCGAGTCAATTAAAAAATAAAGAGCTAGTAAGCTAGTAATAAAATGTGGGGCCTGTTTTACATTTCAGAGACTAAATACACTTAATAACCAAATGAGTTGTGGGAAGATTGATTAGATCTTAGCTTTTGAAAAAGTTCTTTGAAAGCTAAGGAGTGGTAGGGATGGTGTTTGGAGACTGCTGTTAATTTTCTTTTATTATTATTATTATTTTATGTAATTCTTACAACATTTTTCATTTTTGCACAATGTATGCATTTTCATTTTGGTCATATTCCCCATACAATTCCCACCCGACTGTTGTTAATTTTCTTAGGTATATTAATGTTTGTAATGATGTGGGAGAATAAAACCCTGTGCTGAAGCATCCAATGACTTGCTGTGATGTCTGCAGAGGGCTCGCAATGAGTTGAGCATCAGTACATATACACACAATATGGCAAGGGGAGTGTGACAGGTGGTGGGTGTTCACTCCTCTATTTTTACAACTTTTCTAAAGATTGGAATGTTACAGGGAGGTCTCCAAACATGTGGTGTCAGGGAGGCTGCCCCACCTGCCTCTCCAGCTTAGGGGGCCAGGTCACCTCTTCTGCCCTCTCCACCTCCCCTGCCACCTCACCCACTGACGTGTGTCTCCTGTGTCCACTCAGGTGAAGACCCCCTCGTGGATGATCAAAATGAACGAGATATCAATTCAGTCGCTGGCGTTTTAAAACTGTATTTCCGAGGACTGGAAAACCCACTCTTTCCTAAGGAAAGGTTTCAAGATTTGATATCTACTATTAGTAAGTATTTTCAGGTGGAACCACCAATTCCATGACAAATCATTATTGAAGCTGCACTCTGCTTATTACCATGCTGGGCACACAGGTGGGCTTCCATCAGGGAAGCAGTGTGGCCCTTGACTTCACAGAACTTGAAACCTAGTTATTGTTATTGTGAAATAAGAAGGTGGTTTACAGTGGAAGGGCTGATGGGCACAGGATGCCCCAAGGTGTGCCATGTTTATGCAAAGACCCAGGGGCAATGAAATCCTTTGTGAGAGGGAGATGATGAATGAGTGGCCTGGCACAATTTCTCAATGGGGCGCATGTAGAGTTCAGCAGTACCTACACAATCAGGGCACCCTCCAGTCACGGTGACAACCCCAGAGAATGTCCCACGTATGTGTAACTGCCCCACAAGTGCAGTACAACTTCACCTGAGCAACGTGACTTGAAACCATCCCAGGTACTCTAGGAAGGGGCAGCTACTGGGAAATGAGGCAGGCAAGGTTGGCTGAATCCCCATCACGAAGAGTCTCAGCACAGAGGAGAAGAGGAAAAGCTATCTTTGGTAGGAAACACACTGGCAGATGTGGACGCTGGGGAGAGGGCTGGTGCAAAAGGCTGTTCTCTGTGACAGAAACAGGCATGCTTTCTGTGCTCTGCAGCTCATTCTTCTTGGTGCCAGGAAGAGCCCACTATGCAGTGGCCTCTCCTTCCACGCCCAGTTTGCTGCCCGCAGCCCTGGCCTGGCTGATAACAATATCAGTTTCTACCTCTCTGGGAGAACAGGGGTCAGAAACTAAAATCTGAATCATCTGCCAGGCTGGTCGAGCAATAATAGCTCTAGCAGTGGTTATTTATTCCACACTCATTGTCTGAGCTCCTGCTATGGGCTAGGCCTGTGCTACAGCGTGTTTATAACAAGTTTAATAAAAAGTGGTCTCTGCCTATGTTGTAGGTGTCAGAAACTCATACTGGCTTAATCCATAAAGGGCACCGTTGTGGCTCACATCCCCACTGGACCCAGATGTCACGTGGCATCAACAGGAATCAGTCCCCTTTCTCTGTGCTGCTTCCCCGAGCCAACTTCACAAGGGCTCCTCTCTCTAGGTTTCTACTCTCAAAGTCCCAAAGGTCAACTCTGATGGGTTCTGATTAGGCCACTTACCCCTGCCTGAGTCCACTCCCGTGGCCAGAGGAGGACGATGCCCTGAATCGCCAGGCCAGTGTCACATCAGAACCAGAGTAGAGCCGGCTCCTCCTGACGTAGGAGGCTGATTTGGAGGGACAGCTCATCACAGCGGCTCCCTTGCTCTCTGAGGGTGGAAGGCACCTGAAATGCCCCTTTACATTCCAGAACTGGAGAACCCAGCTGAGAGGGTGCACCAGATCCAACAAATCCTCGTCACCCTTCCCCGTGTGGTCATCGTGGTCATGAGATACCTCTTTGCTTTCCTCAATCAGTGAGTTGCTGGGGATGGGGTCCCTGCTCTGACTCCACTGGGGCCTCCTCTGGGAGGGGGCGTCTTGAGGCTGCTGCAAGGGCAACTGTTCTTATAGCAGAACATGGCCCCCTCCTGGATTTGAGTAGCTGCCCCTTCCCCCCAAGAAAAAGCACCGTGGGAGGACTTGGCTTCCCCGGTGACTAGTGGGTCCCTCCTCTCTCGTAGCCTCTCGCAGTACAGCGACGAGAACATGATGGACCCCTACAACCTGGCCATCTGCTTCGGGCCCACCCTCATGCACATCCCCGACGGGCAGGACCCTGTGTCCTGCCAGGCCCACGTCAACGAAGTCATCAAAACCATCATCATCCACCATGAAGCCATCTTCCCCAGCCCCCGGGAGCTGGAGGGACCCGTGTATGAAAAATGCATGGCTGGAGGGGAAGAATACTGGTAAGATTCTGTTCCTCCTAATATTGTCATTGCCATCATCGCTTGCTGTTGAATGGGAATGGTAAGAAATGCTTCAGTTTTCTCACTGCGCTATAGTTTGTAGGCCTACGTGCGTTTCCTCATCTGAGCTTTGCAGCGGCGTCATGTGAAAAATAGGTGCCTCTGTCAAGGTTCTCTCAGAGCAGAAATACAAGTCAATTGGGAGTTTACTGGTTTATTTAACTATAAAGTCTGGGAACTTGGCTTCAGGTGCAGCTGGATCCAGGAACTCATCAGTATCCTCAGGACTCAGTCCTACATGTTCCCTCCCTTAGCTCTGTTTTCTTCTGCTTTGGTTCATTCTAGGCAGCCTCTCCCTTGGTGGTTTCAAGAAGGCAGCCAGCAGCCCCAGATTCAGAACCCCTCTCTCAGCACCCCCAGTGTCCTTTCCAAATGCTCCAATGCAGAGCCAAGACTATGTCTCCCGGCTGAAACTTGAGTCCAGAACCCCACTGGTTAGGACAGCGTGTCATACTGTCACTGGCCAGATGAGGACATCTCTGGCAGTAGAGGAGTGGACAAGTCCACCGAGATCTCATGGACTGAGAGGGGGCTCTTGAGTTCCCTTTTCCCGATAGGGTGAGGGCCTTGCTTTGAGAGCTCCCACGAGGTCAGCTGGGCCTCGGTGTGCCTGGCATCACCCTGGCATCACTGGGTTCTGGGGGAAGAATTTTAGGACCTTATCATAATCAGAGCTGACCACCTTCCCCAGGCCAAGGCCTTACCATGTGGTGAAGATAGGAACTTTAAAAAAAAAAATGTGTGAAGACTGGAAATTCTGAACACTGACCAATGGACCAGTCAAAAGGCTCCTACTCTCTCTTCAGTGCCCTCCCAAGCCATGCACAGCCTTATTTTTAGGTCTCGCCGGTGCTGCTTTCTGCCAGGCATCTGCAAGGGAGTCTGTCTTGTGGCTGTCACAGCTCTCCTGGACTTGGGAATCACCTTAGTTCTGTGGGCATGTTTGGGCAACTGCTTCAGAGGTGGGTGCAGGTCCAGCTCGTGTTTCCCAGCAGAAACCCTGGGCCTAGGGAGGTCCAGTGGCAGCCCCCAACAGCGTCTGAGCACGGGAGCGAGTTTTGACCCTGTTCACAGCCAGGCATCGAACAGCCGGCAGGCGGGCCTCCCAGACCAAGGGAGGCTTGCCCACAGCATCCGTGCCTTGCCTGCTTCTCCTTTGTGGCTGCAGCACATACGATCCGTGTTCTGGGGAGGGACCTAAGAGCTCAGGAGCCTCGTCAAAGAGCAAAGCACAATAACCACACCCCCAGCCCACGTGTCTCACAAGGAAGAAAAGCAACCAATCACGGCGTCATCTCAGAGGTGTTTCCAAAGTCAGAAGGGGGCATTTGGCCGAGGGTCTCCTCACAACAGACAACAGTTGTTCATTTGACAAAGGAACATTTGTCTGGGGCCCTCCCTGGGCTGGGAGGTGGGACATGATCATAGCAGAATTAGTGCTGACCAGGGAGGAGGAAAATGGGCTGTTCTAGAAGTGGGGCTCCTGAGTCAGTGTGGGGCTCCAGATTAGCTTCCTGGGGAAGTCAGACTGAGCTGACACCTAAAAGCCGAAAAACTGGAGTTGGCCAGGTGAGGAGTGAGCGCAGAGAGTTTTAGGCTTGTGTTGTTCAATAAAATGAGCTGTTTCATTTGGGTGAGGGCTCTGTGTGATGAGGGGGTTCATGAGAGCCCAAGGGCTGCAGGAACCTGGTTCTGAAGGGTCTTCTTACAGCATCGTGCAGACTGGACCTTCCAGACGGTGATGGAGAATTCTTCATAATAAAGTCCAAGTGCCTTTAAGCGGCGCTGTGAATGTCACCTGCTCCGAGAAGCCCTCCCTGACCACCCTGTGCAGGGTTCCTTTGCTATGCTCGTCCCTGCTCACTTGCTCCTGTGGAAGACCTCTCAATTTGCAGCAGTTTTATTTCCTGGCCATGGGGCAGGCCCGGCCCCACTTACCATCAGCGAGTCCCTCCTTACTCGCATTGTGCCTGGCTTGTGCAGGGCTCACTTGGTGGCCCGTGGGAACTGACTGACCTGTGAATGGAGCCTGGCCTCCAGAAGCTTGTTACCTGGCAAGAGGGTTGCACCTGTGAAGTTGTCTCCGTGCATGCGTGACCGAATCTGTTCCAGGCCACGCCAGGTCACCAGCCTGGTCCCTCTTCCTGGACTGATCTGGTCTTGGCTCACAGCTCACAAAGCCCCCTGAGCCACCCTGCTCCCTGTTCGGGCCACCCCACCTTGCTGGGGGGTCGCCTTGCTGGGACACTAAGGGGCCAGGCTAGATGGACAGCTCAGCGCTCCCAAGTTCCTTTCTGCGCTGGCCTGGTTGTCCTTCCAAGGACAACCACCAGGGTTTTCCCTCTGCCCTCTGGGTCAGACAGAACACCTAGGATGGAAGACAGCCAGCAGGTTCCAGAGCTGGGAAGCTTATTCAGGGCAGCTTCTGATTGGGGGTGTTGGTGGGGGGCTGCTGGGAGTGCTTTTCTATAGGAAGCTCCCTGAGGAAGATGGCATGCAGGGGGCCTGGGGCGGATGTGGGTGAGGGCCGGTGGCGACTGGGTAGGTGCCCTTGGGAGACTAAGGGTGGCAGAGGGTGGACGGTGGCCTACAAGGCCCCTTTCCGTGTTCCCTTGCAGTGACAGCCCACACAGCGAGCCGGGGACCATTGACGAAGTTGACCATGACAACGGCACCGAGCCTCACACCAGTGATGAAGGTGAGAGGGGGGTGTGGGGTCTCCTGCAGGTGCCCCTGATGCCCACTCAGGCCCACCCATGTGCAGGGCTGGCCCGTGTAACCCTGTCCGGCTGCCCAAGTCAGGGGTGTCTGTGGCCTTGTCTGGTCCCTCTGCCCCCCCCCCCCGCACCCGTGGTCTGACCTGCAGTGGCTTGTGCTGGGCCTTGGGCACATGGGTCCTCGAGGAGCTCCCTGACCAATCGGGAGCTGCTTCCCTTGAGGCAGTATTAATGCCAGGTGGTAAGAGCATCCCCAGCATACTGAGCGCCCCAAAGATGAAGCCAAACTGGAGTGGATGCTGACCCAGGAGGTGTGGAGAGCGGGACAGGCCGGCCCAGCTCTAGGGGCTTCCTTCCCTCTCACCCCCCAGGCTAGGAAAAGAGAGCCCTAGGGCCTCTGGGGACCCCGACTGAGGTCAGGGGTCATGTGGGTAACACGAGCCCTCAGGCGGCCAGCACAGCCCGGGCCCACAACGCTTTAGGGCCCATGAAAACATCTTAATTTCCATTAAAATAGTAAGGAAACAAGTGACTGGACATTGCAGACAACACGTTGCTGTCAAATGCACCGCTCCCCGCCCTCCCCACCCTTTGGGACTTGCTGTTGTTACTTGCACCCGTACTTGCTGATTAACTCACAGACTGTCTCAGCGACGTCGCTGTTCCCCGCACCCGCGTCAGCCTGCCCTTCGTCTTCGGAGAGAAATGGCCTGTGGGCGCCCACAGTGGCCGCGGGAGGGCAGCGGTTTCAGGGCTTCCCCTTCCCTGACCACATCCAGCTGCTAAACTCCACTCGTTGCTGGATGTTTTGCTCTATTCATATTAATCATGTCCTCGGTCATAAATTGTTCTACAAACTAATCAAATCAAGCCGTCGCCTTTGAAGGAAGAGTTTCCGAGGCGAGTGCTGCACATTGGTGCTCACGCCAGAGGGGCCTCTCAGCCGCCCTGGCCCTGCTTACCTCCGGCGAGCTGGCTGGCCCGAGCTCCAGCTCGTCTTCATTACGTCTGCGGACCTGCCCCAGCGCCTTTCTCCACCACCACCGCTGCTCCGGCACATGCCCCTGGACGTGAGCTTCACCTCGCTCTGTTGCCAATGCCGGCCTCCCTTTGGGAAGAGATTAGAAGCTGTTATATAGCTGCTTCCCCCCCCAGGCCCACAAAAATATCTCTGAACTAGAGCTCTGGAGCTTGGAGTAGGACCTCAGCAAGCTTCTGAGTGACACCCCCATTCCAGGGGTTGAGTAGAGGCAGCGGCGAAAGGTCCTCTTGGCTCACCTCTCCCACATGGACCAGTGGGGCCAGGGCTCCAGGATTCTCGTTGGGGCCACGGCCAAGGAGGAGCCTCTATCTTGTGTCTCTGCTGCACCCCCTGGAACCCTAGAATGGGTCACTGGGCATAGGAGGAGAGGCATTGCTCTCCTCCAGGGAAGAAAGCCCTGTGACTGGCAGCTGGGGGTGGAGGGGCTGTGTTTGGGGCTGCAGCAATCTGCGGTGGAGCCTCTACCTCCTTCCCTGTGGGAGCTGGTGGAGGAGGGAGTAGCTTTGTCTCAAATGCCGCAGCCTTTGGCCTCTCTGACCAAATTTTCACAGATTTCTATGACTGGATGTATTGTCACTTCCTGTTTTTTAAGTGATTGTTGTACTTTTTGCAAGCTTTACTAAGAAGCGGGTCAACATGTCCCCTTCCACAGTGAGGGTGATGGTGACCCTACTGCTAATGTCAGTCTTAGAGGGAGCGGGGAGCAAAGCCCAAGGCAGAGAAGAAACCTGCAGCCACAGGCGAGAGGAGGAGAAAAGAGGGTCCTGTGGCCAAGCTTAGGGTACTGTGTGACTCTAGCAAGGGAAGAGGAGAGAGGATGGAGACTCATGCTCACGCTGGCCTCTGCCCAACGGCCTGAGGACACTTGCGCTCTCTTGTCTGGAGACAGGTGGGCTGGGTGCGCAGGGGCACAGAAGCACTGGGAGCAGCAGGGCTGTTGGCTCGCCCATACAGAGGGCTGTGCCTGAGTAAGTTCTCCTGTGTGGCATGGCGAGGCGGGGCTGAGCCTCCCGTCAGGTAGTGGGTAGAGAAGGGCAGAGGATCTGGGGCTTATGGAACATCCAGCCTCAGATTCCAAAACAAAGCCAGAATATTCTAACAACCTCCACACCTTTCCAGCCTCCAGCCTCTCCCCTCTGGCCCTTCCCTGACTGCAGCTGCTCTGCTCCCTCAGGGACCTCCCTAAGATGTGACAGTCCCTAAACCCTCTGGACGGGCCTCTGCTTGTCCTAGCTCGGGGCTGGCCTCACCCACCCTCCTCACTGTAGGGCCCGCGGGCACCCATGGGCACAGCTAGCCTCTCCACAAGCAGCGCTGAATCGAATCTCAACATACAACATAGTTCATATGAATATTCATATTTTACTGGACAGATGCAAAGGCTCTGTGGCAGGGATAAACTTGGCATGTTTCAGAAACATCCAGAAGGCTCTACGAGTGATATCTGAGACCTGAGATCTCAGCTTATCACTCTTTACTGTGTGACCCACCCTGGAGGCATCACTGCAGTTCAGCCTGTTTCCTCGCCTGGAGAGTGAGGAGGGTTGCAGGTACCTTGTGAGGATGGAATGTGATGCTGTAAACAGAGCTTTTAGCACATAGTAAAAACAGTTTGTTCATGCAAGCAACAAATATGTATTGCTTGCCTACCTCCCTCAGGGACTGTCCTCAAAGAAGGAAACCAGCCAGAGGTAAAGAGCCTGTCCTAACAGAGCCCATGTCAGTAGGAAGAGTGACAGTAGCAAGTTCACGCGTGCAGACACACACGCGAGCTGAAGCTGTCATCAGCGCTAAGAAGAGAAAAGCAGGAGCAGGTCTCGAGAGTGAGCTGCCGCTTGGTGCTTTCGTAGTCGAGGGTCAGGGAAGGCCTGGCTGAGACAGTGACATCCCAGCACAGACCTGAGCAAACGTGGGAAGTGGCCCAGTGTCGATAAATGTTCGCTGAGTGTGAATGAATGCAAAGATGTGGGAGGGCTTCCCCGGGGAGTGCCAATAACAAGTGCAAAGGCCCTGGGGCTGGAGAAAGCGAGGCGTGTTTTAAAAGCACCAAGAAGTTTCTGTGAATATTAATACTGCAGTGTTTAGTTATAAATTTTACTAAAGTTTGCAACTTACTTTAAAATTCATTAAAACTTAAGATGGCCACTTGGGTGGCAGGGGGATGGAGGGTGGAGGTGCGTGATGAGCTGGTGTAGTCACATGCTAATGGCCGCCTGTAGCTGGTGGGTCTGGTCATGTTCACGCAGAATCCTTTCAACTTGACCTTGTGTTTGAAAAATGTCACAATACACGTTGCAGGAGAGAGGTCAAGGGCGCTGGGGGCGGAGGGGCAGTAGACCCAGCGAGGGAGAGAGTGGAGGGAGAGTGGAGAGTGGCCTGGGCTGCAGGGACCTCTGGGGCCCGCTGCTCGGAGGCTGCAGCAGCCACGAGGAGACATTTGTTCCAGGCACAACGGGAAACCTTGAGAGGATCCGAGCAAGAGAAATTCATGATCGAATTGACAATTTTAAAAGCTCCCTCTGGCTGCTATGGGGAGAAATGGCTCTCCCCAGCAAAAACAAAGGCCAGGAGCCCCGGGTGGGCATGGGCCACACTGAGGACAGGGCGAAGCCAGGCCGGTCAGCCTGGGTGGCCGTGAAGGGCCCACACGCACGCTGGGGCTGGGTGTGGGCCCAGCGGGGACAACGCCGGGTCTGTTTCCTGAGATGGGAAGCAAGAGATGGAGCGTGGGGAGTGTGTGGGCGCGTGGTGAGGGGAGTCACATAACCTATTTTTGGTAGTGTAAACCCAGATAACGGGCTCACTCATAAATGGTCGCTATTACTGCCGTTTCGACCCCACGCTTACAGAACGACGTCTGCAAACACACGTTCCCTCTCGGCTTGCGGCTCGGCTCTGCTCCTCCTTTTCTTCTTCCCCTTACAGTTTCCATCCTTCCTCAGCTTCCCCCAGTCCCAGACCATGCCCAGGGGCTTCTGGGGCTCTGGCGATTGAAGGGCAGAAGCCAGACCCCGAGGCACCTGGCTCCACACTCCTGGAGCCCAGGCTCACATCAGCTCCTTCTGCAGTGTGGGGAATTGCGCTCTAGGGGGGCCCTGGGAACCCCGAGAGCACACAGCCCTCTGACTTGAGCCCCTGCTCTTACAGACCGCCCACCTTGTGCCTTGCCTCTCAGATATAAGGCAGCTGAGGTGCCCGGGGTTCTGGACCGACCTGAGGTCACACAGGCAAGTGACAGGCGAGAGCCACACCCTCGTGGCTTACCACAGCAGGGCTGTCACTGCGTGTGTGTGTGTGTGTGTGTGTGTGTGTGTGCGCGTGCATGCAAGTGTGGAAAAGAGAGAACACAATCCTGTGCCTTTTTTCCACTTAGAAGGACACAGTCCTGTGGGGTTAGGGCGCTTCCCCAGGCTGCCGTCTGACCGCTGTTACTTCTGGAAGGCCCATGCCCACTGCAGGCATCCGAGGGCTGGGGCTCTTGCCTGTGGATCTTGGGGTGCACGCCGAGGGCTAGGGTCTTGCCTGTGGACGTCAGGGCGCACGGCTCAGTCCATACCAGCGAGCTTTGAGGAGCCCTAGGAATCCTGCGAAGCAGTGCTCACACTTGGCGGGACGCGAGTCCACACGGGCCACCGGCTTGACCTCGCAGGAGGTTCGAGACGTCTGCAGGTGTCGTGAGTGGACGAAGGAAAGGGCTCCATGGGAACTGGAGCAGCCGTGGCCTTAGGGGGAGAAGAAAGGGCAGCGTCTTACAACACCGTTTCAGTGAGAGCTGGGGGCAGCGGGGAAGCAGCCCCACGCGCCGTTCTGAGAAGTCAGACGAGGGGCCTGAGCTCCCAGCGTGGGGAGCAGGTCTGAGCCAGGACCGGCACCCCGACTCCACCGCGAGCTTGTCCCCAGCCTGCTGTCCCCGCCGCCCGGGCCGCCCGCTGACCGCACCCTGCTCTTTCCTTCCAGAAGCGGAGCAGATCGAGGCCATCGCCAAGTTCGACTACGCGGGGCGGTCCCCACGCGAGCTGTCCTTCAAGAAGGGGGCCTCGCTGCTCCTGTACCAGCGCGCCTCCGAGGACTGGTGGGAGGGCCGGCACAACGGCGTGGACGGGCTCATCCCGCACCAGTACATCGTGGTCCAGGACATGTGAGCGGGGTCAGCGCCGAAGGGGAGGGCCGGGCCAGCCAGGGCTCTCCTGAGGAAGCACAGCTGGTCTCCGGAAGACTGGGTGCCCCTCACTCCTCGTCGGGGGACCCAGGGCCCTCCCTCCGGGAAACAGACCCAGCAGGTGCCCCTCGGCCCTACACCTGACCCACCCCCCAGCCTGCGGGGCTCCCTGTGACCCTAATCTTCCATCCCCCGGGCCTTCCCTGGGGGCAGCTCACCGCCTAGCCACTGCCCACACTCTCCAGCCGGCCTCTCGGGGTTGGTGGGAGCCGTCACCCCCTCAGTACCAGTTCACGAGAACCCGTTTCTTAGACAATTTGGCCATTAAAAAAAGGGCCTGGCCCCCCTGCGGCCCTGAAAGCCCACACACCTCCTGTGCCCCGGAAACCCCGCGCCTCAGGCAGGGCAGGTGGCGTGACCCAGAGAGGACTCAGACACCAAGCTGGACCTCCAGGGAGGGGCAAAGGCAGAACTAACAGGCAGAGGGGAGGGTCTGGAGCCAGAGGAAAGTCCAAGCCAGGGAAACCCCAAGAGGGAGCCTTGGAGGGCCTCCGTCCTGTGAGGTTCCAGCCTCTGCGGAGGGGCAGGGCCTGAGGAGGGAAGGGCAGCGGTAGGGGCCAGCAGGGCACCCCAATACGCTGCAAGCCACCTTACAATCATCTCAAGTCCTGGTGGGGAGGTCAGGGACAGAGGCCCCTTCTTCCTCCCTGCTTAACCTCGCCCCCCACTTCACAGGGAGCCAGGGGAGGGGGCTCCGCACACAGGAGGCTGGGGCTGCCCGTTTAGCTTGGGGGAGAACCAGGAGGGGACAAAGCAGCGGGTGGGTGTAAGTGACCATGGGTACCAGGTCAGCCTCTCCCCCCATCGCCACCAGGAACCCCTCCCTGCAAGCTGGGTCCCCCATTCATATCTGTCCTTCTCTCCAGGGACGACGCTTTCTCTGACAGCCTGAGCCAAAAGGCGGACAGCGAGGCGAGCAGTGGACCACTGCTGGATGACAAGGGGTCCTCCAAGAACGACCTGCAGTCCCCCACGGAGCACGTCTCAGATTACGGCTTTGGGGGCGTGATGGGCCGGTAGGAAGGCAGATTCACTTTTTCCTGCCAGTACCAAGTGGGTCTTATCTGACTGGGCGGAATCAGGGGGCAGGAGGGAAGAGGGAGATCCCTGGGGGCATTCCCCCAGGGGTCAGGACAGGGTGCTGGGTGTGCCCCAGGGGTGGCCCTAACAGCTTAGGACACAGGTCGCTGTTCTGCCCAAGACCTGGTCCAAGAATGCCCGCTGAGTGATCTGGGTTGGGGTCCAGGCAGAGGAGAGAGAAATTGGCATATTGTGACAAGTGGGGAGCGTGACCGGTGGGCGAGCTCTGTCCTGCCTCTGCAGTGCTTGCGCCGCCTCCTGCTCCCCGTGAAGACGGGAGTTCTGACCATTACCGTGAAGCTCCCAGCCCCTGAAGAAATCTCAGCCCCAACAGAAAACTCGCGCCGCCTCCGGTGCTGGGGCTGACACCCACTCCTCACCTCCCTTGGGTGGGGCCCCTCTGCCAATTTCTCTGCTCCAGGTGTGTGGCCAGGCTGTCCCGCGACCTTCCCGCCGGGTGAGGGACGCCGCCATCTGCAGGCAGGCGTGGGCCGGAGCGTGTGCTTGCTTTAAAAAAAAAAATAGGGAACAGGGAAGGAAGGAGCAGAGTTGAGGAGGAAAGCTCCCTCTGCTTCCTTAGTCAGATTCTCCCCGTGGCTCTCTCTGCCTGTTTCCGTGGAGAGGTCACAGGCCCCGCCCTACCCAGCCCCCAGCCACTGGGGCGCTCGGGACAGGCCAGAGAAACCAGCCACAGCAGGTCAAAATGCTCAGGAGTTTAATTCCGCTGAAGTCCCGATGCCTCTTTCCAGCACTTTCTGTTCAGCTGAGTGGACAGTTCAGGGCACTGTCCCGATGCCAGGCCCGGGGCTGCAGTGGGCAGATGACAGCTGCATGGGGCCTTGCCTCTGGGGGCCGCTGTTCTGCTTTGCTTTTCCCTCCCCCCATCTGCCTTCTTCTGGTGCTTTCTCTCCGAGTACCTCTGCCTCCCCTACACCCATGCTTCCCTCCTTCTGGGCGCCCACAGGGGGCCCTGGGATCTGAATCACCCAGGCCACCCGGCGCCTGGTCCCCTGATCACGGTCTGTGCCCATGCACTGTGCCGCCCCCAGGCTCTCCCCTCCCGAGCCCCGGAGTCTTCAGTGACCTCAGAGGGCCCAGCAGAATCCCTGGGGGTAGACCCTCTATTTGCCAGTGTGCTCCTATACCCCCCAAGCCTCTCTCAGGGAACACTGTGCCTACTTAACAGCTTAGGACACAGGGAAGTCTGGCAGTGACAGGACGGGCTCACCCTCCTGGTCCTCTCCGGTCCCGTGGCTGCACCAGCCGCCCAAGGGGTGAAAGCGTCCAGATGTGCAGAGGCCCAGCCCGTGGTGCCCTTTTCACTTTTGAACAACTCATAGAAATAGCCCTTCACAGGGGGCTGGGGTGGGTGATGGAGGTGGACCGCCTTCCACTCCCGGGGGGCCCTCCCGGGCTGCAGGAAGCTGGTCGCGCCTCAGTGCTTCAGCCAGGCCCTCACCTCCTGGCCATGCTTGCCCTGCCTCAGGGCCCAAGATGCGCGCGACTGACCACCGCCAGTGCGCCCCCAGGTTTGCAATCCTCTGGCTGGGACTTAACACGCAGCCAAGGTTGATTGCGTGGTGAGCAGCACCGCTAGTCAGCACTCCCCGTCTGCGGCAGTCACCGTGCCTGCGGGGTCTGCTCAGCCGATTGGCTTTCGTGGCAAAGCCGTGGGGTCTGGTCTGGCTGCCGGAGGCTCTGCTCTACCCCCACCCCCCGACTAGTGTTAGCGTGGGCCTGGGGTCGCTGGCGCTCCGAGAGGGTTGACCTGTGCCCCACGCCCCGTCCCTGGCTCCTTTGCAGAGTGCGGTTACGATCGGATGGAGCGGCCATCCCCAGGCGCCGAAGCGGGGGCGACACGCACAGCCCACCCCGGGGCCTGGGCCCCAGCATAGACACGCCACCCCGGGCCGCCGCCTGCCCCAGCAGCCCCACAAAATCCCTCTCACCCGGGGGAGGATCGAGAGCCCCGAGAAGCGGAGGATGGCGACGTTCGGGAGCGCCGGCAGCATCAACTACCCCGACAAGAAGGCGCTGTCGGAAGGGCACTCCGTGAGGGCGACGGGCGGCTCCACCAGGCACAGCAGCCTGGGGGACCACAAGTCCCTGGAGGCTGAGGCCCTGGCAGAAGTAAGGGCGTAGGACGACAGGCTGGGCCAGGGCGATGGCCAGAGGGGCCACGGGGGGTGGGGGGGCATGCAGACTGGGGAGCCCCTGAGCCCTTCACACCAGGCTTAAGGGTGAGCCCGAACACTAGCGAGCCAGCTGTCCCCTCCCCCCGGCCTCCCGGGGGCTGGCAGCCGGGTGGTGGCAGCCATGGGGTGGATCCTGTAAAGAATCCCAGGCTCCAGGGCTGGAGAGGGGGTGTCTGCCTTGGGGAGATTTTGGCAGCATGGCCATGGCCGGTGTCTTCACGAGATGCCGTGACTCTTACGTTCGTCCATTCGCTTGTCCTCTCGTTCGCTCCTTGACGACACTGAGGGAGTTCTGTGTGCGACAGTCTCTGTGCTGGCCCCGGTGATGACCAAGTGCCTCCGGCCCCGCCAGGGAGCTTCAGCTCAGAGCGGGGTGTGACGCCGCCTCTGGGACGCGCAGCTGTGAGGCGGCGGGCTCCGCTGCTTCCCAGAGGAGACACCTGACTTTGAGAGCCTGGAACAGGGGGCTGACACCTGTGGAGGGGGCGAGGAGGGACGGTAAGACCTCAGGTCCCAAGGCTGAAGCAGCAAGGGCAGAAAGTTCCAGGCTTCCCGTAGGGGGCTGGCCCCACAGCCCTTGCAGGAGACTCCGGGGCTGTCTAGGCTGTTTCAAGAGCGGGTCCGACCTGCTCAGTCCTGCGCGCCCTCGACTCTGCAGGGAGCTGGGACCAGGACCCACCCCGCGCCCCTCCCTGGTCTCAGAATACCCTTTAGGATTTAGATTTGAACCCAGTTCAAGAGGCTGGGGAGCCCGCAGCCCTGCCCTCAGAGCAGATGCCCTCAGAGCAGAGTGGAGGAGAAACGTGCTCACCCCCCGCCCAGCACCCCCCACACTAACGCAAGGCTCATGCCTAAACCACGGCTGCTCCTCCTCTGAGCTTCTGTCTTTCTGGCTCACATTCTGCCAGGGGAGGGAGGTGGTGGGGGGGCGACAGTTATGCTTCATAGAGTCAAGTTCTACCTTGCAGCTCACGCTGGACTAGAGCAAAAACGGTGGGGGCTGTAGGGGACGTGGTCTCAGTAGAGAGGCGTAGAAGGCGGGTGGGGACAGGGCTGCGTGGTCCACCATGTAGAGCCCACCCCCCAGCAGCTGGCCCTTGGGATAAAGGCACTGAAGTCTGCCCCTTGAGGGCGGCCAGTGTCCTGGGCCCGGGACGAGCGTCGTGGGGAAGCGGCAGAGTTAGTGTCAGCCACTAGCTATAGTTGCTTGAAAGGTGCAAGGATGAGCTGGGAGAGTGTCCCCAAGGGCTGGGCACCCTCAGCGTGGCCAGATGGGAACATGTCTTGGGGCTCAGGGCAGGCTAGCGGCCGCCTGCTGACCGCTGGGGAGAGGAGGGCAGGGGGCCCGGGCACGGAGCCGGCACCAGGACATCTCCAGGCTCCGAGCCTACCCGTCGACCGGGCTTTCAGTTTGCATTTGCCTCCGACAGAAAAGCGAGTGTGTCTTAGCTGGCGCCATGGTCCCCGGAGGCTGCCATGTTCAGCCATCTCCCTGCTGTCCCTTCACTGTCCCCTCCGGGACCCTTATCTCCTGTGGGCAAGGATCTGAAAACAGTAATAATGATCAGGAATATGGACTCTGGACATTGACCGCCCGGGGTGAGATTTGGACTGTCTAGTCATTAGCTGTGTGACCTTGGGCAAGTGACTTAACCAGCCTGAGCTCATGTGTCCTCATGTGTGAGCCGAGTGTGATGGCAGCTCCTACCGTCCAAGGAGGGGGGCATGAGTGACTTAGCAGTGGGAAGGCCTGGAGCCTGTGTTGGCCATGCTGCCGCTGTCACCGTCCTTATGTTCGTGTGCTTGTACACGCCAGGTGCCTTCCACGCTGTCGCAGGAACCCTTAGCACACACCACTCCCAGGTGGGTGTTCTCATTACCTGTAACTTACAAGGGAAATTTCTGAGGTTCAGAGAGGTGAGGCAACTTGCCTGAGGTCACTGGGCAAGAAAGCGACAGAATTAGGATTGGAAACCACTTCTGTCTGTCTCCCGAGCGGAACTGCCGGGTCCCTGCACACACGGGTTGGCCGTGGAGGCAGGCTTGGCCTCCAGACCCCGTCCCTGCTGACCAGTGCCCTCTGTGTCCCCAGGACATCGAGAAGACCATGAGCACGGCTCTGCACGAGCTGCGGGAACTCGAGAGGCAGAACACAGTCAAGCAGGCGCCGGACGTGGTGCTGGACACGCTGGAGCCCCTGAAGAACCCGGCCGGCCCCATCAGCTCGGAGCCCGCCAGCCCCCTGCACACCATCGTCATCCGGGACCCCGACGCTGCCATGCGCCGCAGCAGCAGCTCCTCCACCGAGATGATGACCACCTTCAAGCCCGCCCTGTCTGCCCGCCTGGCCGGTGCCCAGCTGCGCCCGCCCCCCATGCGGCCCGTGCGGCCGGTGGTCCAGCACCGCTCCAGCAGCAGCAGCAGCTCGGGCGTAGGCAGCCCGGCTGTGACGCCCACCGAGAAGATGTTCCCCAACAGCTCCACGGACAAGTCGGGCACCATGTGACCAGCCTGGGGGCGGTACCCCCCAGCCGGCAGCGGCCACCGGGGCCCTGGGGGTGGTCACCGGGACGCCCTTGTCCGTCCAGGGGTGCTCCAGCTGGGAGGGCAGAGACCCAAGGTCAGCCAGGGAGCATGTCTGTGCAGAGCTGGGGCCCAGGCACTCCCCGCAGCTGGAGGCTGTGTGAACCCCCAGGCCTCCCCTACCGTGCAGGCTCCAGGGCGACTGCCATTGGAGCCCGCCCTGGGTGGGGGCAGAAAGCCCCCCGACCGCACCCGCACATCGTCACTGGAAAACGAGGCCCCGACACCCCCCTCTGCATACACAGACATGTGGCTCTGCGTGTGTGCACGTGTGCACATGCACGGACGTGTCTGAGGTGTGTGTGTGTATATATATTTATGCATCTATATACATATCCTAGACCTGGACACACACGCGCTCAGTGTACATAGGATCTCCTTTTTCTTTCTATGAAACTTAGATTTACCTCAGACCCATGCCACCAAACATCTCCCGCTGAGTTATTTGGTGGGATTTGCAGGGACTTTTCTGGGAGAATCTAGAGGCCCACAGTAACTGCGCACGAAGCAATACACCACTAACCTGCAGAACAACCAGAACCAACGCCCCCACTGTCTCCAGAAGTCGTGGCCTTCCAGAACAGTCTGCCCCCGAGGAAGGGGTGGGGCAGGCGGCCCCCGGGCAGGCTGCTCCTAGAGGTGGGGAACCCTTCCCAGAACTCCCCCATCCGCCCCAGAGACCCTGCCTTTCCACCCCTGGGCCCAGGGTCAGCCGCACCCTCAGAGGCACGGGAGGACGTCAGCGGGAAGACCCCGGCCGCAGCGCCCCGTGTTCGCAAGCAGGAGCGGGGGTGAGGCCCGCAGCCTCGGCAGTGTCACGTGCGGTCGGGAGACGGGGGTCAAGCCGCGCCGTGGCGGGGGACCCTCGAGCCTAGTCATGCCGTAGGAATAAATCTGTGGTAACTATAGAGGTTTAACTTAATGCCATTTTCAAAATATTTAAATTTTTCTTTTCCTCTTTCTACTAATTATACTGTGTCAGATCCGGAACCAAGCAGGCGAGGGGGCTGTGAGTCACGTCCTTTCGGTTGAAAATCCAGCGTGATGCCCTCTGGCGGGTGCCGCCGGCGAGACAAGGGGCCGAGCGCGCCCCCCTCAGCCCAGCCAGCAGGGCCGGCCCTGGCCTGTCTGTCCCCAGATGCTTCGTCTGAGTTTAAGCGCGTGATGTTGCGCCCCGCTGTCCCTGCCCTGCCCCCCAACACGCTTCCTCCAGAGCGTTCGGTGGAACAGAAACGCGGTGACAGAACCAGGCGTGTGGCCTTCAGGTGTCGCGAGTGAGGCTCTGGCCTCCTGGCTGTGCCCAGGCCTCTGGGTCATGCTCACCCAGCTCCGCTTTGCTTCCTCTTTTGCTCTCTTTCTTCCCCAGAGGCGGCCTGTTTCTGGATCATGGAACTCGGGCGATCAGATTCTAATAGGCCCCCTTCCCTCGCCGCTCACGCCAAGCTGAGGGTCCCCCCCAGGATTCACCTCCTTCTCTCTCCCGGGGCCTCTGAGCGAGTCTCCAGGGCTGGGACTTGGAGTCTGGGTTTGAGGCCCAGCTCCCCCGCCCCTCACGGAGCCTCCACCTCCGGCGCCATGGAGTGAAGAGAGTAAGTGTGAGCTGTGCCAGCTGCAAGGCGCTGGGCCCGCAGAGTGGCTGGGCATTACCCTAGGAAGGTCAGTCTTTTAGATCAGAGATTGTCCAGGCGCTTGCTTTGGAAACCTCAGAGGGCACTTGAGAAGCAGGCAGCGGAACTTCCCCACACTTCATCAGCACGGCCTCGCAGCCACATCTCTCGATGCTGGAAACCCCATGCTTAGCATTTCCACCCACTGGGCTTAGCTTTGCCCTCTCGTCGCGCCCTCCACTCAGGCAAAGGCACCTCAGAGGGTGGCCGATGATGTCACGAGCACCTGGGTGTGTAGGTGTGTGAGCTCCTGGCCCTCGGCTGAAGGGCGGGCGCTGAGAGCAGAGTGGAGGGCCGCCCGGACAGGCGCAGACGGGAGCGCTGACGGCAGGCTGACTCCTCTTAGCTCGTCTCTGAGCTCCTGCAAGCGAAAGAGTCTCAGAGCCAGCCGGGAGCCCTGTGCCTTGAGCACATCAAGCTCACCCCACTGCACAGCTTAGGGAAGAGAGCAGGCCTTGGCGTCACCCGTGGCCCAGCGTGGGGGCTGCGTCGGGCTCACACAGCCATTCACCAGGGAGGCCCTGGGCCGTCCCTCCAGGACACATGACCTCTCGTTTCTAGCCCAGAGATACTCTCACACCCTAAACCCAGCAGCTCCCTGTGCACCTGCCGCGTCCTGCTGGTCTCACGGACCGGCTGAAAGCGACACGCCGAGCTGGCACCTGTGGCCTGTCGGTCCCGCGCTGTCAGCGCTCCGGCCTTTCCTCCGCGGGGACAGAAATGCACCTGCCTTTCGCCGAGTCACCTGGAGGTAGAGCCTTAGCTGTTTGCTTTAAGCACCTATTCTTCCATTAGAAAACGGCTGATGAGTTCCCATTCGGGGAAGCTCGCCCCCCACTCATGCAGCCCCAAATCTGAGCCTTGACGCAGAACCAAATGGAAAACTCCTTCCCGCCCGGCCCCCGGCCCGGCCCTCTGCATGTCTCGGTCCCCTCACGCCCGCCCGGCACGGTCACCGGGCGCCTGCGTCCTCCCCCGAGCCCCGCCTGTGTTCGTCCACTATATATTGCTGTATTTGCTTCCATGCTGGAAAGTAACTGTTAAAAATGTGAAACTGTCATTTTTTGAAAGGCTGCAGTGACACAGTAGCCGCTCACCAAATCTTTGCACCCAGTAGATAGATCGATGTAAAAACCAACGCCAGAACCCTAACTGTCCAGTGAGCGTGGGGGAGGCGGGGTGACCTAGCGGGTCGTCCTCGGGAGCACCGGTCGCCAGGGGAAGAGCTGCTTCCCCGCGCGGTCATCGCCACCGCTGAGCGCTGTACCCATCAGGCTGTCGATAACGGGCACATTCTTCCTCCGCTTCACAGAACAATTTCTTTCCGTACCCTTCGACTGACCCCGAGGCCGAGCCTTCCGTCTTTATGCATAACCGATGTTCAGTCTGTTTTAGGAATGAACCAGCAAGACGTGCATTGAAAACTGACCAAAGACAATTCATTCCCGGGCGAGGGCCCCGGGCCCGCGGGCCCGGCCGCTGCTCAGACCTGTCTCGGATAAGATTGGGAACAAGCTGTGCTTCCTCCCCTGCGCGCCCTCTCTCCTTTTATTCCCCTCTCCTCTTCAAGAGCTGCTCTGAGCTGTGGGATTCTCTGAAAAATTCTTGCCTTTCCTTGTTTCCAGTGCTAACGATTTCTCACCTTGAAGCGCCTTTTGAACCCCGGGCAGAGCGCACGGTTGGAGGGAATTGTCAGCTTGGGAATTAGACGGGGGTCCGCCCCTGAGGCCACCGGGCCCAGGGGCAGGAGAGGGACGGATTCCCAAGGGCTGGAAGGTCTCCGTTCAGTGAAGAAATCCGAGCGGGAAGACACGCGGGCAGGCGGCCGCCCGGCTCCGGCGAACCAGCAGCCCAGAGCTCTGCCTTATAAACCCTTCCGGGGGGGCCTGTCGCGCGCGGGGAGCCGCTGCGGAGTGGGCCTCGGCGTGGGGCCCTCTCGGCGGGCGGCGTCCCTTGGAGTGCCTTGTTGGGTGTAGTTCTCTCCCGTCAAGAGGCAGGAACACAAGAGGGCGGCCCGGCCCGGTCACGGCGGCCTCGCTCCCGGGCGCCCTCCGGGACTCCTCGATGGCTCTTCTCTCGGCCTTTCTGATGGCAACGTCTCGCACATCCAGATGGCTCCACACTCGAGCAAATGCCTCGTTCTCCCAAGAAGCCCAGCGAGCAGAAGGACGGGCTCGACATCACCCCGGGCCCTGCGGGCGGGGAGGGGCGGGGGAGGCAGTGGGGGGCGAACCGAGGTGTTGCTTAGCCTATTTTTCTGCTGTGCAGAGCTGATGCTGACTTCACGTCAACTTCCCCGGTTCTCTGGGGTGTCCTCTCTTCTGAGCAGCCATGTAGAGAATTCCCCACCCCCGAAGCGACCCAGGGGGCTGAGGGGGCTGAGAGAAGGGATTTGGTGGTCAGGTCGGAGTCCTCCTGGCCTCTCTGAGGGGACCCGCCAGCGTCCCGCTGTCCCACCCTCTGGGACCGGCCAGAGGGCCATCGCTGCCCCTCACGGACACCTCCTTCCTGTGTGAACTGTCCCAGGCAAATCACAAAGCCGTTCCTTGAACCCGAACAACCGGAGTGCACTTTTCCTTCCTTAGACGGAAGTCGATTCTGGCTAGAGGTTGCCCGGGCTCCAGTTCCCGGCAGCGTGACTGTTTACACGGTTTGGCAATAGGTTTGGTTCTGATTGCTTCAGAGTGGCTGGTCTCTTTTGTTTCCTTTGGTTTCCTTCCTCCCTAAACTGTGTCAGGACAAAACCGAAACCGCCCTAGGACATTGCTGGTTGCCTGTCCCCGCGTGATGATAGGTGTCACCCTCTTCCGGAATTCGGACCGTTTCTCTACCTTACAACCAAATGCCCGTCCTATAGCGTGTCTGACTGGGTCCTCTGTCGCGTGTTCTGATGGTGCCTGCTGGTTTGACGTGGAGCTATCCTGTGAAATAAAACAGCTTAACTTTTCCCAAGCAGCCTCCGGTAGCTTTTTGAAAGGGTGAGGTGGCACTTCGGGGTGGGGTCCCCATGGGGGCATCACTCTCCAGTTCCCACTGACTGGGTCTCCCCTCAGGAACCTCCCCCGAAGTGTCCTTTAGCTCAGCCCAACGAGGTGAAGGGTGGCGTTGCGGGGAGGCTCTTGGAAGGCACAGCCAATGAGGGAGGTGACCGTGGGGTGACTTCTGGGAGCAGGAGCTGGAAATCAAGCCAAGGCAAGTGGGCACGGAAGCTGGTATCTGCAGAGAGTTCTTCAGAGTTGTTTCCGAAAATTTAAGTCACACCCCAGAAGCCATGGATACGAGTTCCCGGCGCGAAGGCACATGCGACATCTTGGCGCTCGGTGTCTGCAACGGCCTCTTGGATTGTGTGTGTGTAAACTCATCTCTGTCCCGGTTACTGCTTAATCCCTTGCCTACCTTTTTGGCACCAAATTCTCAAAATGGCTCTTGAAGGTAAGTCCCCTTCTTAGACCTCAGGCTGCAGATGAGAAACGAGTCTTCGAGAAGCTCAGTGGCTCACCCACGATTAGGTAGGAAAATGGAGGAGCCAGAATTTGAGCCCAGCCTATCGGACTCCCAAGTCCAAACTCCATGCTCGGCCAAGTTCACCGTGCTGCTGCTCACTGAGCTTGTGCAAACGCTGCCTTCGCATTGGGCCTGTGTGGTGAGGCAGCTTGTGCCTGCCACCATCAAGGAAGACTCCAGAGCCTGTCCCGTCTGATGCACCCTCCTGGGGGTCTTCACGCGGGGCCCTCTTTGCAGAAGAGAGCCAGGTCTTCTGCCAGCCTCAGGGCTTCGCCACCCTCCTGGTGGCCTGTGGTGGTCCTTCTCACCATAACCACTCATCACTCAGCAGTGGCCTCTCGCTGAGCCCCTTCTGAAATGCTAAATTTGTGTGTGTACCCCACTATCTGTTCACTCGCTCCCACCAGCTGTGAGCTGGTTCTTTCACACAACGCGGAACCTCTGGTTCTTTCAACTAGTGTGTGTGTGGGAAGACCTATGGAGGTGTCTTGCTCCAACTTAGCAGCTGGGGAAGCAAAGAGGGATGAGACGCCAGTCCCTACCCTCAAGCCGCTTACAGTCTAATTGCACAAAAGATGGGCGGCAGAATTCTGAAATCAACTTTGGTGCAATGTCAGGGATTCATAAGAGAGTGTCCCTAACCCACAGAGGCCTAGGGAGGGGCGCCTTCCAGCTGCCTGGCTGCTCTGCCAGCCTCAAGGCAGCCACTGGTGGACTGTTCGCTTCCAGGCAGTCTTGGGCTTCCCTGTGCGTGGCAAGTCATCCAGCCAAGCAGCCTGAAGCCAAGGAGCATTTATCGGGTCAGTAACTAGAAACACTAGGCGGGGACTGGCTTCCAATGGGGATAACGTGGGAATATCAGGG